AATGCTTAGCTGGTAGCTGAACGGTGATCCTCCCTGTTAAATATCCTTGTTGTTTACTTCTCCCACTATTGTTAGGTCTGGTAAGTGCTGTGTTTGTATTTTACTGTGCTGTTAGTAAAGGTTTCATTTGATGGAGTTTTGGAGAGCATCCAGCAAAAAAAAAAAAAAAAAAAAAGAAAAAAACTCCAGGTCAGGCTAGAACTTTCTTCATTCTAGTTTCTTTCTTCTCTCTTTTGTATTTTCAGGGCCTTTAATAAAAATCTCCTGGCACAACCCCAGGGCCTTGCCACCAGACTGATCTTGCCTGTTTTGTCAGCAGCACGACTCATTTTAAATAGCTGGTCTGCTCTCGGAAACTAACTAAAAGTCTTCTTTCCTTCTTAAGAAGAAAAAAAAAAAAAAAGTCCTCTTCTGGATGACAGACTAACAGTAAAGACACTGGAGCCTTCAGGGTATCTTTAACCCAATTTTGGAACCCCTTGGAAATAAGAGTTAATGAACTTGTTGCTGGAAGCTCAACTGCAGCATTTTAAATGGCTGTGAAACATGTCCCGCTAGGAAAAAGAGCATGAAAACAAGAAATGTGGTATCTGATATTCCCACCTCTGCTAATAAAGATCCCTTTCCAATGTTAAGTCTTGATTGGTTTTAAAATAGTCATGCAAAGTTCTCTTGACACCTTACTAGCATGGATACAAAAAGTCTAGGCAATCTACTGACACAAGGGTAGACAGGGGGAAAAAGGGATTTCACAAACCCGTCAGGAAACCTGCTGCCCGCGCCGCATGAGTGCACAGTGTGCTGCGAAGTGTCAGACATATCTATAGCAAGCTACAAATACCAAATATTGCAATTTACTGAATTAGGSCTTCTGTCTTTTAGCAGCCGTATTTACATAACTGACGCCTCCTTCAGTTGGTTTGCTGCAGTATTATTGCATTACCGGGTGATCTATCCAGGTCAGCCTTGGTAGGTTAGTGCAGAACCCTGCTCCCTCAGCAGGATCCGAAAATTTAGGTCAATTCGCGTAACTTTGATGAATCTTTAGAACTAAAATGATTAAAGTGACAATTTCCATTGACTCCCCACTGAGGTCTCTGACCTTAAATCGTGGAGGTCACAACAAGTATGTTAAGAATCTAAGCAAACTCCAATTCAGMATCCTTCAGATTAAGTATCTACGTGTAAAGACCATCAGCCATGATTTAAAGTTTTGAACACTTTAGTTTCTCAATAATTGAAACATATTTCATGGGAATTTCATTGATTTGAATGCATACCATTTATTATACAACCCCAAAATATGCATAAAAAAAAAAGAAAATATAATCATTAAACTATTAATCCTGCAAATTCTCTGTAAGGCTGTACCCTTCTAGATTGAGGGCTAGGTGAAATAAAATTGAGACACTTTTTACTTAGAAGGGTTTGCTATTTTTCACACCGTATCAGAAGCTGTGCAAACCTTTAGTGTTTAAGCTCTAGGGATAAAACGATAACGATCGCTGAGTGTGTTGTTAGATAAGAGCCTCCCTTGACTAGACAAGGCAAATACAATGACACATGTACAAGGTATTAAGGAAGTGGTCATGATTATTTGGTGCCTATGTCTAAAAATAGATTTTTTATCATTATTATTCTTTAAAAACAAACTATATCTTACTTGCTCTTGCTCCATTACAAGCAGCCTTGCACGGGCCACAGCAGCACCTTGTGTCTTCCCTTCATATGCCCAGACCAGCCAAGACCACGTCCAATGACCCAAGGTCTTCACACACACAAGGAGCTCTCTTGGTGGCTGGAGAGGAAGCAGGTGGTGACATTCCTGTCCAGAAGCCCCTTAAAAAAACCACAACTCAGTCTCCAGTCATCAACACTGTGCACAGTGTTCTCTCCTGATTTCTGATGCTTAGAATTGTGTGACCCACACAAGAAGCCAGGACATTCAGATGAAAGGAAGGAATCCCACAGTGTTTACACCTCCTTAGTGAGTCATGCTTTGGTAGTCCTCATTCCAGGCCTCCACTCATGCCATGTCCTCCATTTAGGCCAGGACAAGTTGAAATTACGTGGAACAAAAACATTAAGGAAGAAAAGASATCAGCATTTGACATAAACCCATACTACAAAGTCCAAGTGGAAAGTATTATGATCCAATCTTCATCTCCCATTACATGTGCTGAAGACAGCGTGGGTTGTGTGTATGTTTGTGAGGGTTGGATTTTCTCCTGCGTGTTTAGGGAGCTAGTTTAGGTAACTAAAACTAAAAACAAAGCAGCAGTCTAGGTCTTCAAAATGTTTATTCTTCAGTGACAGTGTGCCTGACCATCTAAGCTAGTAATTCCAGCGTTAAGTGGAAAATAACTGCACTGTGATTTTGTTTTGCAGACCAAAGCTGCCTCCTGTCAGGGCCACACACACAAGGGTTTTGGCCTCTGTGCAAAGGAGTCATTAGCTACAGCAAGGAGGGATGGGCAGCGTCTGGGTGTGAAATTCTAATGTGAACTTCCCAAAACATGTTTTAGATGATACAGTGCATGAGAGCAACTCAACCTTACAGTGTCTCTATGCTGCAAGATTTTAAGTTTTCTGTTGTGTTGGTTCAAACATTAAAAAAACCATGTTAGCTAAAGTAACCTGCTATTTATGAGAGGCAGCAGCACACCCCAAAGCACTGGGTAATTTTCATGTGGAAGAGGTTTCCAGGCCGTGGTTGGGGCTTTTCCCTGCGCCCYGGAGCTGCGTGGATTATTTGCAGTTACGGCAGCTGCGCACGGCTGCGCTGTGCTGTCCGCAGGAGCCATGGCACTGCACTTAAGCGTGGCTGCCCGTGMATCTTCCACGCCGTGGCCTTAAGTTGACGTTTTTTCAACTGGGTCCCAAATGGCACATTTTGTATATTAATAGTTACTGCCAGTCTATAATTAGAAAATATTTTTTTTTCCAAAGCTAATGAAAAGATGCCCTAGCCACCTCTGGATCTGATCCCAAATCCATTAATGCAGTTCAAGTGATTCCATTTTAGGCGGGACAGAATAAAAAAAATTGAAGAAAGACACTGCCAAGTATTTCCAACTGGGAATATGCTGAAACTTTTGGATAAAAGGGAAAGAAAGATGGAAGAATTCATCCTGTATCTGTCCCTATTGCATCCAACTTGGAGAGAGAGTGGGAAAATTAAGTGAGTAATACTTCCTGAACTATGATGGTATATTGATGGAAATATGGCTAAGAATTTGCTTCCATGGAAAAATTAAAAAAATATTTATATAATCATAATGAAGACTCAGGCCATTAGTATGAATCATTAGCGCCCACTTAGAGAGCCAGAGGTGATAACTGTAGGAATAGAGGGAGCCTAARGGCACCTCTTCCCTGCACACTGGCCTGTGTGTGGGGATTCCTCTCGTGGTGTCTGATCATGCCAAGCTACAGGGACTTATTTGTGACCGAACATTTGGCTCCATTTCACATCCAGTATCTCCAAACCTAATTCCACACCAAAATTAATAGTTCCCAGCACTTCCACACCCAGCTGTCATTCTGTTGCCCAGAAGTATCCTTGATTTAGTGCCTAAGAACACAGGTTAATGACTATGGATGTGAAAGGAGTGCTCAGAGGGATCCTGAACCAGGCTTGACCACAACACATTTCRCTTGGTGTCAGTCCACCTGCTTTGTGCACTCCTGTCTGGAAAATGTCCTTCAAAAGCAACCAAAAACCTATGAAAATGCATAAATGAAAGTGCCAAACAATTCCAACAGTGTAGACAGGCCACAGTTCCAAAATGGAGCTTAAGGTTTGGGGTGTGCCCATTTGCAAAAATTGGTATTTCCAAAAACATCTGCAAGAAAACCAAAACAAAACAGAAATAAAACAAAACCACACACACATAACATTGGTTTGCTTAACTCTGCTAGCAGAGCAGTGCAAAGGAACACCACGTACCCCACACCAGGAACATGTGTCCTGCAACACGGCACTGTCATCTCCCGCAGTGGTCCAGGCTCCAGCCTTCGGGATTATTAAGTATCAGTAGAGACAGAAACGCAGCTTAAGCACAATAAAGAACCAATCTGAGGAGCAAATGCACTTTACGTAAGAGAATCTGGAAAGGTCACCAAAATATTTGTGGGAAGAAACCTTGCATCTTCTTTCCATTTGTGCAATGAGACTAAATGGTGGACAAAGAAACCACTGTGTTGTTGCCCCAGAAAGTGAATAGAAATTGCCACAGACGATGAATGAATTTTCAACTATGTGTGTGGGGATGAACACTATATAACAGAGATGCCAGCTCACACATCTGAGCTGGATGAGCAGAACAGGGTGCGTGATGACTGCTTTTTGGGAACTTCTATTAGAAGTTGAGTTCTCAGGCTACCACATTCCTATTCCTCCCTCGTATCAGAAAGGTGAAATGGGAACTCCAGGGCTACAGCCACTCTGCAGAGCAGGAGGAACCTGCCCGAGATCTCACAGACAAGGCWGAGGCCAAGCCCAACCTCCTGATTTCTGGCATGACTTTCATCACTCAGGGTTTTCTCCTACTCGATGTTTCACAACAGCACATCCCGTTTATTTACAGAAGGGTAAGAATTAACAACAGCTCATGACATTTTTATTTGAATGAAATTTAAAAAGGCAGTTATTAGTTATACATACACACAACTGATTCTGTACTTGTTAGTCATAAATATAGAACATTCAGAAGTACAAAATACACTTTATCCACAGCACAATTTCACATCAATAGTAAGAGTTTAAACAGATAAGTAACCAAGTGCCTAACAATGACAGAAGCCCATTTTTTGATTTTTTTTTAAATTTCTTATTAAAAAAGACCATTAATCTACACAAAGTAATCAGCGTCTACAGTCATCAATTCCATCAAAGACACTCTGGTTTGGAGTAGGAAAAGACTGACCTTTTATAGACTATTAGATGCCATCATGTTTTCTTTTCTTTATTAGTAAAAGCAAAAAAACTCACCAAACTCCCATTCTCCTCTTCTGAAAGCTAGCAACCATGAAAACTGGGAATCTGGCAAATAATCACCTGAATTCAAACTTGAGCACTACCGGGGAAAATGAAAATATCTGAACTAGAAATTAGTCCACTTGATACCTTGCAAACAAAGAGCAACAGCAGAATGACACCGATAAGGCATTAATGACAAAACGGCTGTATTATCCTYGAAAAAAGAGCACACCTATATATAAAAATATATGTCATAGCAATTGGGTAAATCCAACACTATTTAACACTGTGCCAAAAGTAATTAAGAATTAAAAAGGCAGTACTGCAAGAAGTATTTACAGTTTCATACTGTAATTCCAAAGAAAAAGGCAACAAAGCCACTAATGGGACTATCTGGTTGAAGCATCACCGTACATCGTTACGGTAGGACTTTTAACAAGTAGTGTGATGGAGCCCCTCTGGTTAAATAGGATTTGCAGGGTGAATGAATGAATGCAAATACTTCAGTATCTAAAAAGTTCTCACTCTACATGCTCACTAATTGAAATAACTCACTCAGACCATAAATATTTGCAGYTTCTTGCTCCACCAGTATAAAAATCAGAAGGTCCAGTTTGCAGAAACACAGTGTTTGCAACACAGTTTGCTCAAAAAAATCACAGCTCTATTTCCACGTTAGGAAAAGAAGCAAGAACCAAGAAACTCAGCAGCTGTAAAGCTCTGCAAGCTGGCAGCATGGCACGTAATAAGAATATCAGCCTTTCAGATGCACTTACAGCTCCAGCAGTAACGCAGTGACCAAGCACGCGACAGAAGCTACCGCACGGCAGGGGCGACGGGCAGAGCAAGTGCGGGATGCAGGGGGAGTGGGAAGGAAGCTCTGGCTCGGGATGTCCAGAATGGAAATGGGGAAGGACAGTCCCAACCCTGGCGCGATCCCGGACTGGCCTTTCACACAGCAGCCGTCCCCTTTCCCAAGTGGGAAAGCAGGAGGGAGCTGCAGGATGAGAAGTGGTCCGTGCTYGGATGCCTCTGGCTTCCAAAGAGTAACACTGTATTAGAGGAAAAGAGAGACACACTAGAATTCCTGCTATCAGTGCCCTGCTAGCTGCACAATCAAACAGTGCATAYGAGAAACCTTTACAGCAGTATGGAAACGGCAGGTTGAGGAGTATGTGCACTGATATTGGGAGAAAAAAATACATTATTTTTTAAAGATAATTACATTATATTACTGGATTTGTGAACAAAGCTAAATATAAATTTATTTAGAACTACTCGTAAGGTAAATTGAAACAGAAGAACACCATTTTTCATTTTTTTTTTCACTCTTCAGGACAATGTTTTTGAAACATTTTAGAAGAACTGAAATTCATCACGTCAAGTCCCTTCTGCAGAGAGGCAAACTGCTCATTACAGCTCTCTCCCTTGTAATTAGCTGCTCCCTTTGCAAGCGTGCCCCTTGTGCAGCTGCAGTCTGTCCTCTCCCAGCCTGTAGGCATCGAGGCAACTTTTACAGACATCCGTGAATTTCATGCAATGGAAAACAGAGCTTTGTTCCTCTAATTCAACGTACAGTCATCTGTCAAAGCACCGTGAGCAGAAAAGGAGGAGACTCCAGGAGTAATAAACATCCATGTATTTACATGATTAATGCTTAAGTGTATGGTTTTCTCACCTAAGATAGTATTTCCCTATCTCTGGAAGAGAAGAGATTCACATTCTTTGTGTTTTCAGAGTAATTTTGGTGAAGTCACAAGAGGCCAGAAAATGTGGGGTCTCTGCAGCAGTACACCTACCCTAACAGGAGATTTAATTTTACTAAAATGTCTCCAGTCCCACTTGCGTGTAGGCTAAGAAACTGGTTCCAAATACAGCAAGTAAATCGGTCAGAAAGACTCCTCGTGGATACTGATACTGGATACATGCTGTTCTATGAGAAGCCAAGAAGGCCAAGTGGGAAGGAAGGGCAGCATAAGGTTAAAGCAGTGGTTGGGGTCAGGGCAGTGTCTCCTTGGCCTGTTGGCCTAGAAGCCTCCACCACTTTTCAGCACGGAAGCTGTGTGGCGACAGCAGGCTGCAGGCCAAGGGCCCGGTGGCGTTTCAAGATGCTCTCCTGGCAAGATGGGCTGCAATAACRTGTGTGTGACCCTCCCGTTGAAGGACACCCCAGGTTTCAAGAGGAGCTATGAGAAGCGAGACCACAAAGTCTAGGAACTGCTGCAGAAACTGAGGTGTTTTCGGTGGCGAGCTCAGCCCTCCTGTTGCTCTGTCAAGGCCTGTGTTGGTAGACCTGAWCACACAGACTCTTAGAAAAGCTGCCACTTTCCCTCTTCTGCAAATGCCAGGTAGAACTTTCCATACCTCAAATTTTATTAAAGTTCTTGGGCTCCTAATCATTTATGAGTGACTCCTCCTCCTCCATCCTAAGAGAACTCATGTAACTCCATCATGCATGTGTAAGATCAAATAAAAATCACACAAATTTGCACCAATATATAAGGTAGATGATTAGCCCAAGAGAAAYGTAATTAACTCATCTCCGTGGAAAAGCAGGTAGCATTCAGAGCAGACAGAGCCTCCAAGCACTTGGTAAGCTGAAACTCTCATATAGTAGATTTAACAAAAGGGACTGCTTGGGAATCCAAGCAAAAAAACAGGTTATCATCACTGTGTACACAGAGGACAACAGTATGATTGACATCTATTATCAACTTGCTCTAAAAACATTGTACACTACAAAACCATCTCACTGCTTGTAGCAAGTGAGCTCTGATGATTTTGTTCCAATAGGCCACCAACTTGCACTGCTAAAACATGAGTTTCACAGTATAAAAAAGTGTTACACAGGGAAGAGATGCAGCTAAAATAGAAATGGTGATCTCGATGTGTTTACAGTCATTTTTATGAGGCAAACATTTGGGGAAATCAAGAGCAATAGAAATGAAAGCAGTTAGAGAGAAATTTATAGAATTATAGGCCTCAGTTCAGTGCAAAAACAGACTAATAGCTTATGTAAGTAAATGTTTGTTCTTAATAGAGAACGACCTGAATTAAAAGTAAGAACTATGTGAAGTGATGGAGAATCCTCCCACATCTAAATCCTCCACATATATTGCCAACCTTTTCAGTATGCTCCCAAACAGACCCTTTTTAAAGGCAAAAGAAACCAGTACAGGAAAACACTTCATACAGCACAAGATATACATAAAGTACCAAAATGTACACACATTCAAGTTTAAGTTAGAAAAGGCAGAGCTGAATCTTCTGGTCAGGGGCCTACGTTCCATTGTTTAATCTCACATTTAAACTGATCTAAAAACTACAAGGATCAAAGAAAACAGCATAATGTGTCTGCTTCCAGAAACTTAAGTTTAACACAAGGCATCTGAATTGAATGGTAGGCACTGCAACAAGACATTACCTTACCTTTTCTCTGTTAGTCTTTGTTACTTCTTTATCTATTTAAAAATTATCAAAGGGAATGTTAGGTATCATTCACATTCAAATGGTTAAGACTCAGAGATTTTTTTTTCTCTTTAAATCAAGCAAAGTATTCCATCTCTGAGGTAGATGACAATAAAATAAAGAAATAAAACAGAAAGGAGCTGTCAGTGAACACCAACAAATGCTGGAACTCCTCTGTTGGCGCTTATGCACCCAAGGAGGAGAGAGCAAGCCCTACATTGCTATCTGACATATGAGAAACATGACTTCTGTTTTAGTAGCTTCTACAGAAATGCAACACTGAAAAAGCAGAGCCAAAATTACACCAAAATGGCCTTGGAGAAGAACTTCATTTCTGCTTCACAAGCTACTCAGAAAATGGTGGAAACATGCCCAGATCAGCAAAATCTTCAATGTTGTAATTGCCAGTTCCCTGCGTTGGATCCCCCGGCATTGGCAGCATGTCCTGTGTGATAAGGAAAATCAAAGTGAAGTGTCACTTTCTAACATGTTATCCAGACACAAACTGTTTCCTGTTCAGCTTTTCATTGTAAAAACATAGAAGACCAAAGGCTAGCGAAATAAGGTGAAAAATAGACCTGGAAAGGTGACTGGATTAAGGTCACACTGCTCACGTTTTGCTTGAGCTTTTCCAAAAGGGACAGGGAGCTTCAGCAGTGCAGAGGTTTTGGGCTGCTCCTCTGAACAAGCCAGATTTCAGCAACCCTATGCAATTTCCCCAGGCTGAAGCAATTCCCAAACGTAATGAAAGTCTGAGACACGGGACACCAGGCCGAGACACGGGACAATCACTGGATTTGATAACTTCAAGTCGTCTGGAGTGACAAGTTCTTAACAGAGGCTGAGGAACTATGCTACTAATAATGAAGTGGAAACTTCAAAGCCATAGGGATATGGGCAAGGTAGAAGCTGCTTTTACTCTCCCAGTGATTTTTCTTTTCAGCATAGCAAATAAAATCTTTTGATGACATGAGGACATTAAACAGACGCTTGGTAATTCTGCCTCTGCATCTCACTTATTCTTCAGGGCAGTGTTCCAAAGCACTTTTGAGCCTGTACAGAGTTGAACAAGGGGAAAGCATCCYGTAGGATATCCTCTAGGAAGACAAAGTTAGTGGGCTTACAAGGAAAGACTTGTTATTCCTCTGTCCCTTTTCCTCATTTGCTCTGAAATCCTTCTGAGAGCTGAAGACAACCCTCTGATTTCACTGTGGGCAGTGCTATGTGGGAAGTATGCAACAGCTCATACAACTAAGCCCAAAAAGTAGCTCATTTCCTGAACCCTACCAGCATTGCACCCTCTCCTTTTCTATTTAAGGAGCTCATTTTGGAGAACCACCCAGCTTGCACTGAAAGGAGCTCCCTAGAATCAGCATGGATTTGCRGAGGGTCTAACCTTCTCATGAGCACTCTGTTAAGCAAGTATATTACTGCTCTTTGTCCTCTGAAAAAAAGATGTATATTGGACATTCCCCCTAGCTAACAAGCTGACCAAGCAGCCCTCGTGTGCTTCACAAAGGCAGCAGCAATGGAGGAAACCTCAGCAGAAAGGGGATTTCATGGTAATTGCTCCCACGTGTCTTAAGCCAAGTGAGGTCCCTGCAGGAGACTTCAAAAATACTCAACCTTCCTTCCCAGCCAGAGACTGAAGCCACAGGGAAAAGACATCCCTTGCTGAGAAAACCAGAATTTATACTTGCTTCTCTTGTCAACCCTTGCAATAATAAGCTCTTACTGCAAAGCCAAGGGTTTCCAGGGACGGATCATTAAGCTTACAATAAAGCAAAACCTAAAGAGCAAGTAAGAAYGCCCCCAGGATCTGCTCCATGAAGGAATAACTGGCAAGAGCAGCTGAAGAGCTACCCCAAAATAAAGAAAACTCAAAATCCATCTGATCCTTAGCACACTTGTCAATGAGGATAAAGGAGCCCATGGACAGAGCTGGTGCAGCTTCTAAGCTGTGGGATCAGCCTGCATTTTTCAGTCTAAATCTTGCACTTCTTATGTTTTCCCACATTCCTCATCAGCTAAGGGGAAGCTGCCTGTAGCTGCCTATGCCTGTTTAAATTTCTGCATCTTTGAAGGCATTTCTGCAGCTGGGATCTCTGTGCCAAGAGAGCCAGGTCAAGACTTCACATGGTAGCTCCCTTTTTGCATTTTCCTCCTTTCCCATGTCCAGCTACTCCAGGCTTGGCTTCAGCACAAACAGTCCAAGCAGCTTCGTGCAGGCCTTTGAACTGAGCTCATCCAACCTTCTCATCACATCCARCTATTAGCATAACTCCCTCCAAATGCAAATTCACTTCCAAGAACTCTGCAAGTGAAGTTCAGCTCTTCCTTTCTTTCCCTTCCATTGATTTCCCAAGATATCCACTGGACCACAGCATTTGCCTTAAATAAAAGCAAGATATTCCTTGGAGCCCTCTGTTTCTACGAGCTCTGAACCATGGTGCCACTGATTTCACTGCCATCAGCCTGCATATGCTTTTGGGTTAATGTGTGTGCAAAACAACTGCATTTTGCTTATGGAGAGAAAGGCAACTTTATCTTATCTCGTCACAGGGCAAGAGCAGGCAGGTAGTTATTTTACGTGTTGTGATTTTACTCATTGTAAGTGCAACAACAGTGGTTCATGTAGGTACATTTTCACGGTGATGTCTCTGCTGCTGCGTTCTTGACAAGAACTGAGCATGAGCCTTATCTTGCAGGCAAATTTAGTCTTTAAAAAGAGTAAAAGATAATAAGGTGCCTTATTTCTAAACCTTGCTTGGGGTCTGAACTCTGTTTTACACGTATCTGTATTGTTTTGTTGCAAAATATCTTCTTCATCTAACTGAAAATTGAACTATATGTGGACAGGGACCTTATTATTTAACACAGAAATCCCTGCTCCATATGTAGTAAAGGCTTAAAAGTACATTCAACATTAAAAAAGTAGCTGAAGAAGATTATTTGYTAGCTGTATAATATCTGACTCATATGACATGTGACAATGTGTTTAGCATTAAAAATTATTGAATACTAGTATCTCTACAGTTTCAGACACATTTCCTGCTTGAACTGTCAAAGAGAATTAGACTGACTTCTAATTGGACTTAACTGCAATTTTAGAGGTCAGTACCAGGATAAGAAAGACYGTAGTCAGGACTAGTCTGTGGCTTCTCTATAAAATGCTGAAGTCGTAAGTAAAGGGACCAAAAAGAAGTGAACACAGTRATTTCAATCAATAACGTTGCTGTGTTTGGGCAGAAAACAAAACTAAGTTCTAGCTAACATCAGTTAATGCAAACCCAAGACAGTAGAGAGCAAAAGACACTTGTGAGGAGCCCTGCTAACACTCCAGCTCATCGGGGGTCAGTGTTTCTGAATCAGCAGGGAGAGCTTCTTACAGGGCCGTGGGGCTCCACGATCTCTGCTCACCTGGAACACCTCGGTCTGGCTGGGCTGCGGATGCGAATGCTGGTCGCCGCTTTGCTGGTTGTGATGCTGGCTCTGCCACTGGGACCAGACTTCAGAAGGTCTCCCCTGGAATTGGCCGCTGCTCTGGGCACCTTCGGCTGGACAGGGGGAAGAGGCAGATGTCAGGGAGCAGCTCCTTCCAAATGCCGGCCTGCCTGGAGACCTCATGTAGCAACATGAGGCTTTGTAAAAACAAAACCAACCAACCCCAAAGCAAACAGAATACAGTGTCTGAACGCTCCTTTTCTTTAAACACTCCTTGCTAGAGCAGGGGGAGCAATACTAGCTACTCACCTAAGATGCCATGCTTYAAGGTTTGTAAAAGGATATAAAAACAATATTAACAGCCAACCGCCTTGCTGCCTTGAATGCAGATGTTAACTCATTTAGGGTGCTGTTTGCAGGGCAATCTTGTCCTTCAATATTACAGCAGCGAAATGATTTATTTATGATGTGCAACTTATAGCTAAATTATTATCCTGTTCGTATGCTGATGGTTTCTTAAAAGCATGATGCCATTTAAAGATCAGAGCAAGTGATGAGAACAGCAAGGTTTGATGGTCAATATATTTGTAACAGCCATTTCAGGGAAAGGGAATTTTTTCAAATAGTCTACTGGAAAACACCACGATGCCCCGTGTATGTATTACTTCAGTCACCTACTGCACATACATTTTTATTAAGTCTCCACTCACATTTAACTGGATTGTGTGATTTTACCCTGTACTTCTACAGACTGGCTCCAAACAATGAGGTAGTTCTCCTTCTATTTGTATTACCTGTAATGTCATCTTCTAAGAGCTGGCATTTTGAAAAAGATGCTCCTAGGCAAGCAGGAAAACATGCTTCCCTGCCAAACATGTTCTCTTCTTCCCCACTCCATCCCRGCCTTTTTTTAAATAATATTTTTGTCTATATTTCTCCATGCAGAGAACCAAGGTTGGTTGATCTGGTTCCCCCAGATTATCAGCAGCCTCCACCGAGAGCTGAGATCTCTGTAACAGTGACTCCACAAAGATGCTTTGACCAGCTACATTATGTCAGGTCTCGGATAACCAGAATCTACAGCTTTCACAAAGAATGATAGAAGAATGGAAGAATTAATCACCGTTCCATAGCCATTGCTACAGAAAGCTTGTAGAAACAGCTTTAATCCAATTTGTTTTGACTACTAGCTAAAGCATGTAAAATAAAGTGAACATTTTTTCACAAAAATAAACCGGCTATAGTGGCTTATTTCTAATAAAATAAGTAGAAAAAAACTCTTCCATCTCTTCCTTTACTGACCTTACCACAATAAATAATTCATTTGATGAAATCCTGTAGCCATTTTGTTGGTCAAAATAAAATTAATCTAAATTATCCTTTAAACTAAAGCTGCAACACTTTTTTTTTTTTTTTTAATTCCTCTCAGAACACCACACTGAAATTAACTCATTGAGGCAAATGATGCTTCTTTTCAGCAAAACTTTTATTGCCAGATGGAGGTTCAAGACATTTGCCTGTAAAGGCTGTGGTATTAATAGAATCTAAAGTGATACAGGTCAGGAAATGTTTCTCATTAGGTGAAAAGGTTCTTGCCAAGCAGTTTAGGCCAGAAAAGGAGGCTGTCTCATAAACAAATGCACAAAGCCTAGTGGAAATGGAGTGAATAAGCTCTGTGGGGAGCATTCCATTCCAATGCACTTAGTCCAGGCAGTGCAACACAGGTCTGCACTTCTACGTGAGGTTAATTTGCTACACAACTTCAACTTTTTTCTCTGTAGACAAGGGAGAAACTACATAAATAAGTGAAATGCTACCTAAGCTTCTTGAAATTGCAGAATATCATCTACCAGAAACATCTTTCATGGACTCCACATGTGTTTATCATTGACTGATCTGTATTTTTTTTATTTTGGAATATGATTCTGCAAGAAAAGTACAGAAAACCTACCACGACTTTCTGGTTCACTCCTTGAGTCATAGTCTGAAAGCTACTAAATGAGTATATAATGGGAAACCCATCTTAAGAGATGCCACCTTCTCTGGTCAGACACAGTGTGAGTACAGGAAATCCTGCGTCCTGCCAAGCTCCAATAAATCATCTCCGGACAAAAGGACAACATTGTGCTGTTAGGAACGTGAAAAATAAATACAAAAATTGTCCTGCACCATTTAAGTGTTCTAGTCAAGCCAGGGAGGACATGCACTAGAGGTGTAAGCAACCATTGAATCTCTCGTTATGTTATTAAAAAAAAAAAAAGAAAAAATACTACAGTATCACAAAACATCACAATATTCTGAAGTCTGTTGGATGTGGAAGAGATGTAGCACTGCAGGTCATCCCAAACCACTGTGCTGAACAAGGGAATGCAAAATCCCTTTAAAATCTGCATTTCACCACAACCATGTGTATGTGCACTTGTGTGCTGGTCATTTAAGACTTACCAAACCCTGCACTTCGGTTTGCTAAGCTGGAGTAGGCATTCCCACTTGGAGACGAGGTGGCAGGGCTGGAAAGAGGGCTGTATGACGACGGATCAGCTGGGTAAGTGTGACTTGTTCCAATCCCGAAGGGTGATGACTGAGCTTTGCCAGACTGAGAGGGAATTTGCTGAGGAAAAATGATTGGAACGGAGGAATGAGTTTTACTGTTAAGGAGCAGCCTAGCAGGCTCTAATTTTAATAATGTAAAGCAAAGGCTAAATCAACTCAGCAGATGAGAGCAAGCACATTATCCCTGTTTCAGCAGTATTTAACTTCTGACAAAACCAACTTATTGCAACCAGTTACAAACCAACACTTACAGCTCTCCGCCGGCTAACTCACATGTACTCAGTGTCAGAGCTGGTTGCAACAGCCTGACTTCCTTCACCTCTATTTTAAGAATTAAGCCCAAACTGAAGAGCTGTGAAGAATTCATCTATTTGCCAGATTTTTGCAGTGCCACATAAAGTCAGTTACCAAATTCCCAGAGAATGGCTTCAGTTTTCAGATGCTCCAAGTCTGCAGTGCTTGGGAAACGGCCAAAGAAGTTTCCAAGTTAATAAGCTGCTTTTTCTCCCCACTAAGAAGCACAGGGAGCAAAGTTATTTTGCCTTGTAAAGGGCTTGGGAGGGAGTGTGAATCACCGGCCCTGGGGGGCAGGAGGAAAGAGTCTAACTTTAAGTGGGCAGCTGAATCAATTCAAGGGTATTAAAAAACACCTTGCTGACACTTTCATCTGTATAACAGCTTTGTCCTAGGATCTCCAAGAACATTTCACAAATGATTAAACTAGTTTCATACAGATACACAGAGACTGAGGGGTGAAGTGGCTCACCCCAAACCACATACTAGAATAATACACAATGCTACAGACAGACTCCGTTTGCAAATTATTCTCCAATTCCCCTAGTATGAACAAATTGCGTTGTTCCAAGAAAAACTCACTGCCTAATCAATTCCACAAAGAGAAAAGTGGTTACATCTCTGGATATTTTTAATGATGTGCATGGCTACTGGCAATCAGTGCACTCAAGCAGAGAGATTCGCTTGGAGGAACTCAGGGGCTTGGAGGAGTGGGGAACAGATCCCACCAGACACAGGACGTGATGAAGATGCTGCCCAGTCTCCAGCTCTAATCCTAGCTAAGCCACTGTGCCTTTCTGAAGGTTCCCACAATGGCAATGGGTGCATGTCGCATCACTTCTGCAAAGCTTGGCTCTTGCTTTATTATATTTAGGATGTATGAAGGAATTCCCGATTCCTTCTGTTCACACGCAAATTCTGTTGACTGGGGCAGCACCTGGATAATCAGAGGAATGAGTAATTAAAAAAAAATTACTATTAGCAACCTTTCCGTATTTTTCAAAAATGGGTAATTTGCCAGTGTTTCCAGTTGGATTTCTTTAAACAGATGTGAATAGCCATGCAGAATAACCATGGCACCATGAGAGCTAGGCAGCATCAATTTGATTAACATGCAAATATTTCAATTGCTGAAAAATATTATCTGCCATCATTAGTCTGCCATTCTAGCGTATAGACCAAGAGAAACCAACAGTGATGAAGAACAGCACTGATGCTAGATTAAAGATGTTATTTTCTCAGTCTTCAAAGCACTTTCAAAACAGGGTGTTGCCCATTCCCCAGGACAAGAGGGCATTTCTAGCACAGCCCTGTGCTGTCGAGCAGAGGGTGCCTCACTCCGTGGCCCGCAGACTGCAGGAGCTGCACAGGGCAGTGTGCATGGAAGGGCAACGGGCTGCGGATTCCTGCTGGGATTTGAATGCTCCACTTTCTGCTAAGAGTGCTAACAGTTGCTGGGTGTTAGGATGTGGTCCAAGAAAGGCTTAATGCCCAGACTTAATGCTAAAGCCTAACAGCTGTCCTGTTTATTTCACTTCAGTGCATACACAAAAATAAGTGTAAGACTGAGACCTACTGGGATTTATGTAGCAAGTGCCACTGCTACTAACACGTTACAGACTAAATGCAGGTTTGCACGGGGCAGCCATCTCAAGCTTTATAACCTGCCAAGAAACAAGTAGGGAAATGATTTCTTTGCAAGAATAAATGATAATGACAAAGTGTAATTAATTACATCATAAAYAGGATCTGTGAATTCTTTTAGAAAAACACACAKAACAAACCTCAAACAACCATGAAAATAAAAGACCTTTAATCAATACCTGTCCTGGAAAAGGTGGACGATTTCCTGTCCAGGCAACCTGACCCTGATTTAGCTGGCGAGAGATCTGTGTCAGATTCTGGCCTGTGGATGAAGAGGACTGGATGTCGTTCACGCCAGGCACGTGTACCACGGATGAACTACAGGAGCAGAAACACAGCCTACTGTATTGCAAATACTGCAACCACGTTTATGTTCAATTTGTCTTAATTAAAAATTACTCAAGACCATGAAAAAACTATCAAATATTTTGGCGTAATAAAATGTCTATTCAAATAAACACAGAGGGCAAAATTCTTTTGAGTTAGACTTTTATAATAATCGCTCTGAAACGACCTGCAAGAATAAAATTAGCACATAAACACTTAGTTCCGTACTAATTTATTAGCTAATACATTAAAGAAACAGTGTGCAGAAAGTATTCAAGATAGCATTTCATTTTAAACTTGTGGTTGAAGTCAATAGACCATTTGCTTAAACACCACTTTTCAATTAAGACGCACAGGATGATATATGTTACTACTTCTCACTTAAGAAATGAAGAAATGTGTGCTATGTATTAAAAATTCAGGGGCTTAATTCCTATTTTCACCATCTGATGCTAAGACACAGCATAAATTACATACCCGATCAAAAGAACAAAAAAGAACAAAAATAAACTAGGATTAAAGCTTCAGAATTAGAAAGAAAAAGAGTATTTCCAAAGGAATTTGTCTGTGTGTTAGCTGTTCCCTAATTACTGAGTTTTACTACAGAGAAATTCCCCTGAAATTCCTCATTAGAGGGAAAATTAAATGAGGAACTGCTTCATTTTACTATTTTCTTCTCATGGAAGTCTTCTGTCCCACTGAAYACATGCAACCTCACATTGTGAATGTGCATACATACATATATAAAAACACGATCAGTACAAATACATTTATAATAGATTAATTATACATTAAAAAGAATGTGCAAACGCAAAAATAGCTCGCCCTTCTTCCCATCCCATCCCAACTATCTATTTTCACAACCATTTTAAAGAGAAAGAGGAGACCCATTGGGAAAAAGAATAAACAAAGTGGAGCAGAGAAAAAGCAGGAACCCTGAATCCTCCAAGGAGACTGAAGAATCCCTCCAGAGTGGCAAACACAATGTGACAGGCATCTGAACACAGAGTTTGTTATCTTGTGCTTCTCCCATTGCCCCAAAATGAAACGTTTGTTTGGAAATTCTTTGCATGGTCTGTGCTATTAGTGCTGTTGCTACTACCCAAAAGGGCAATTTGAATCAGGCTGGACCCTGGAGCTGCTGGTCCTGCTGCTGCTGGGGGTTCCCTGCCTAACGGGCTTGCTCTGCACTGCAACATACACTGGAGACCAGGACTGCAGACCAGAATTTGACAAAACGGTGCCTGAAGTCTGCCCAGGCCTCTCACACACACCTGGGCATCATGAACGGAGGCAGTAACTGGGGGCAGTAATGCTGGCAGATGCTTGATGTAATGGAACAGCAGCATTAAAAAAAAATCCTACAGTTAAGCAACAGGAAAATTAACAATGGAAATGGATAGAGCATATGCCAACCCTGCAGGTGGCAAGTCGAGCATCTAGTAATGTGTGATATCCAATTAAAACCATTTTCATCTACTGTTACATTGCCCTCCCCCCAAAAAAATTATTCTTGGTTTTACTGGACAGAACATCCATGTAGACATTTTATTTCTTCCCACTGAGATTATAAGCAATTACAACTTTAAGAACACAATATTTAAGCAAAATTACTGATGGAAGATGATTTCTAATTCTTGGAACTGACAACGCTAACTGTTGTTAATTGAATGGCTGTTCCTTTGCTTTCAAAACCTTGGCTTCATTTAAAACAAAATAATAAACTTTATTGCTGTCTTAGAACTGGGATTCTAAGGACAGTGATACTGAAGTAAATCTTAACTGATAGATTTTTTTTTTTTTTAACAGAGAAATCCAAATTTTCCCAATCCAAATGCTGAAATGTCATGTAAGAGCTGCATACACATAAAAAAAAAAAAATCTGCAGCCTAGGGCTAGTTTTCTTTCTACTAAGTCAAAGTGGAATTGTCCCCACTTTCAGAAGCTTTGTTTCAGGATCTGGACTACAATACCTGAAAGTCTTTCCTGAATGTCCTGGCTGAAATGGGCTTCCTTGCGAATAGAGCTGCTGGTTTCCTGCTGTGGATGCTGAGGCCATCATTTTTTTATCTGCTATAAAAGAAAAAAAAACAAATCACAAAAAGAAAAAAAAATAGGAATGATAAAATGAAGGCATAATTATTTAATGGAAATTGCAAAGTATATAGACAACAGGGATTATTCTTCTCTTTGTAAACATCTACGAAAAAAGCCCTAAGGGATACATGAAAGGGTAATATAACAATTCAGTATACTACCCCGAGCCACAGCTCTTTTCTCATTATCACATCCCCTTCCCAGAACATACTTAATTAAGGCTATTGTTTGCATGGAGAACAGCACTGGTATGTATCCTCTGGGCCCCTTAACGCAGACACCAAAACCAAAGCTCCATGAAAGGGTCAAACACCACCTTGAAACAGTTTTGGTTTGGCGTCCCCACTGGGAGCTGCTCCAGACCACATAGGCAGGAGGGGGAATGAGGCAGAAACAGCATCTCTGGGTGACAAGTGATGCAGGTGGAAGTGCTGCTGCTGTTAGTGTAGCTTGTTTGTACCGAGGTGAGAGCCCAGACCTTGCCCTCCACAAGAACAGTATCAAAGAACCCGTCTGAACTTGCTGACAGTCTCTTTCCCTCTAGGACGGCACGAGCCGAGTGCCTGATCCTCCTGGGCAGTTAGTTAGGGCCTGGACACTTAGGATTATGCACTCTACCTCTTTCACCTTTGCTACAGCACTGAAAATCTATTTTGTTTTGATGTTTTGCCAGGTTCTTCAGTCTTTTTTTTCTCTGAAACTCCTTCCTGTGCTGCAGCCCCATTACTGTCAATCATGTACTTTTCTCTCAGTAGAACCAGTGTTTCTACCTATAGAATAAGTATGTTCTTAGAAACATCCTGTGCCTCAAGCTACTTGCATCAATGGGTGAAGCTCGACTTGTCCCCTCTTTCTTTGCTTAACTGTGTGTGGCCACTGCATGTGAATATGGAGTCATTCTCTTTGTGTCAAACCTGTATTTGTCATTTCATCTTTACTAAAAAGAAAGAAAAAAAATAGCAGTGAGGAATTGGATCTGGTATCAACATAATGCAAGTGTYCTGCAGGCAGCGTGTAGGTTTGTCAATATTGGTTTTGGACTGTTTATCTCCCCTCTAACTGAGAGTTATCCCTTTTTATCATTCAGAGAAGACCTTGATCACAGCCCTCATAAGAAATTCAGGAAGGGTGAACGTCCCAAAAAAAGCATAGCCTGTAAATTGATAAGACTGAAAAGCGTAATGGTATTTCCAAGAACATAACCTCACAGCTTGCTAGATCCTTAAYCCTAACCCATCCCCACAAACAGTCGAGAGCTGCCTGAAAATGATCCAACAAGGCAGCCAACAAGCAAAATGTTCTTGTTTGGAAAAACACACTCTGGTGTTTAGGGTTGGAGTCTTGCTACCTTCTAATGGACCCCTTTTACAGCCTCAGCTGTTGACTTCTCGGTTAGAGTAGACAGACAATGATGAACAGGAATAACAAAGGTCCCAGCAACAGGAGGACAGAATATCAAGTCTCTCCTGCAGCTATACTGCCCTCTCCATTGGCAAAGGTCGAGTTATACATAAGACACCAATGCAGTGAGGACATCTCTCAACATCCCTGAACTCAAACCCTGTGGGTTGTTTCCTTCATGCACTGYGTGACTCTTAAGCACTGATTTATTTAAAACAAATGTAAAAACTTTTCTCTTTCAGTAAGGAAGGTTAARAACAATAAACAATTAACAAGTACTTCCAAAAGCCTGGTTTCCTACAGATATATTTTGGATGACCCATTCAGCTGACAGTTTTCTGAATGATTCCTGTCTGTTCAGGCAACAGGCAGCTAAGCTGGGGCTACTTTGAGGCCACAGCTATCCAACTGACAASTTTACTGCTACTTCTTGGAACAGGGCTGAGAAATCCTTCAGTGAGGGCACTCAGCGAGGACTCTCTGTCCTCACACTAATATCCATGAAATGTGTAAGAACTGACTATTTCTGAGAYTTCGATTACTCTTCTAAATATTTGTAAGCAGGTTAAAAATACTGTGGGGAAAAAGATACAGGACTCAGGGAGATGGACAGATAGAACGACTGGAGATGCCTCATCTCCCTAAGAAACAAGGAACACYTTAGAGTAGCACACACATCTGAAAACTTCAGTGCAAAAGTGATTTAAGATAAAAAGCCCCTTCTAAAGGCTTTTTAACAACATTCTTAGTCCACATCTACTTATTGAGATGAAGTGAYACCTGCTGTTTAAGAAACTACATATGTAGAAGTTAAAGTTCTGCTTCAAGTTTACCGTCTCTGAGCTGCACTGCTTAAGCTGCTCTTGTGAAATGAGAAGAGAAGCAAAATCAGGCAGCTCCTGGGAGAATACAGTACTTCCCTCCTGCAGTCTTGCTGCTTAGCATCTTTAAGAGAAATTCCAACTAAAGACAAATTCTAGGAAACAGTCTTGAAACACCGACTTCACCTGCAAATTTCTTGCCACATAGTACCTTATCTTCACAGTCTTCAGGCTGTGTTTCACATTGTGTAACCACGCTTAGCATAATATTAAAAATTACATAGCAGAGACATTCACTTACAAGCAGCAATTCCAGCAAACATCTCAGCAAATCTAGGATCTCTCTCCTGGGAGAAGATAGCATCTGGCTTTTCGACAGACTTTCCACCCTCATGAACATTAGCTGGTATGCTTGGAACAGGCACCTGTTGAGATATGCAGAGGAAGCTAATATCCTCCATTATATTTGACAGAAAGAAATTCAGGGATAATCAAAAGGCATTTTAGCTCTGCTGAGATCTGCCATTGCTTTATATTTCAAAAGATCAGAGGCATAAAAATAAAGAACTATTGAGAATTTTTACCTGAGATAAGTCATAGGATGACAGCCCATCTCTTTGATGTACTTCTAGCTCTGCTTGCTGCTGCTGAAGTTGTCTGCAAAAGACAGAAAATTACTTCAGTTACAAAAAGAAGTTAAAATACAAAAAGAGAGACAACCATGGTCTTCTCTTTTATACTCAGAGTGCAATGTCTGTCAGATGATTGAGTAAGCCCTTCCCTATGCGATTCACCTGTTTTAAAGATTTCTAACTGAGAAGGCTTACACCATAGGAATGTAACAGGGGCCATAGAAAGTTGTTCTGTAACAGCACAGAAACATGGATGGGTAAGTAATGAAGGAYGGAATACAAACACCCTCATAAATGATTTAAGGATTCACTGTTAATGCCAACGTCATTTTCTGCATGTTAAAGATGCATGTGTCAGCCACTTTCCCTGATACTACTACAGTAAAGAGAAAAACTCTTAGCAATATTAATGCAGAATCATGCCAGTCATCAAGAAAAAACTGATTACAGCTCTGTGTGAAGCACGTCAGACTAAATGCAACAGSCTGGTGAGCTAGAAGGCAATGGAGAAGGAGACAGGACCGCATATAAGTCCTTCTTCATTATAACATGATTTGGCTCATTCCCCTTAAGACCAGAGTCCAGATTTCTGGTTAATTTTTGAAAAGTTTTAAAGGCAGCAGATCTCAAGAAATAAATTGCTTGTCGCATTACATAARATCAAGACATCACATAGAATCAATTTTTGTTGACAAATGCTATAGAAAACACCAGTCTCCGTTTCCTGTTGAAAAGATATGAAAAAAATCAGTTCTTTAAATGACATAAAAACCACTGGAAGTAACAGCCTTAATCCAATTACAAGAACTTAGGGAAGATAAGATGTGCAACCGAAATAAAAAATACTCTAAAGGAAACTGGAATAGACAATAAACTTTAGGGGAAGCCTGCCAGAATGAAGAAGTTCGGTGTTGAAAACTCTGAGGATCCTTGAAAGAGCCTTGATTTGTGTCTAGTGCCACACATGACAAGCTGATCTCCCTGGGAAAAGGCAAGTCCCTCCAGGGCCCTCCTGTGAAGGAGCATCACTGCCACAGAGCGGCAGATGCCAAGACCATGAAGGGCACTGACCCAAACCCTACGCTGAAACAGAGGGAAGAAAATAAACTGTCTGTATGCAAGATCTGACAGTTGTCACAGTTTCTGCATGCCTCTGGCCTCTTTCTGAAGGAGTAAGTCAGCTAACAGACAGGAATTACCACATCTTTTTTTCTTGAAAGAAATACTATGGTGTGATAGGCGGTAACAGTAGAAGAGATGTTCCAAAATACCAAGGTTGCAGATTTCAAAACTCTAGATAATCAGGATATACTCCTGATCGTTAGCTTAAGTTTTAGTTTCTTATCAAAACTGTCCTTCAAATTTTGAAGTAGACAGATGCAGACTTAAAGTGACTGCAAGACTAACTTCCAAACAAACTCAAATGACAAATTAGCAGAAGCTGGAGTGAAGGTGAGGGGCCACTAGAACAAGCTATTGATTTTTTTTCGTCCTTTAATGCCTTTCAACCAAATCTTGGTGCCTTTCTAGAAGACGCTTTACTCAGACACTTCTTATCTGGCTTCACAGCAAGCTGGAAAATTCTGCGACCTGCAACACGCATGAAGGGTCAGTGTAGACAGCCAAAGCCCTTCTGCAAGCCTTACTTTGCATCAGGAATAAAGTATTTAAAAAAAAAAAAAAAAAAAAGCTAATCCTTATGTTATCACAGGACCATGGATTTCCCATATTATTTTAACCAGTAGAAAAAATACCCCCAAATTACCCCTGGAATGCAAAGGAGTTCTTTGTTCTGCAAGCACGAACTGCTTACTTTTTCAGCAGAACTATGGGAGGTAATTTAATCACAACAAATCTAGGGGGAAGTTTTCCTAAATACCACCCTGTGGACAATAAACACCCATTAAATCCTGTTGTTAACGTGAAAGCTAATTACACTGTTTCATTTGTTTTTATTACCAGTGACTCGGTGCGTGTGTCAATAAACAGCACATTAGGCCTCTTCTGTTCCCTATAAAGTATGTTTTCTTGATTCAGCCATATACATACAAATGAGCCAAATAAAATAGCATACTTATCATTATTTGTTTTGTAGGCACTTCGCTAACTCTGTGCTCCTTCGCCCTTCTCTATCATCTGTAATACTCATTAAGCTACAACACAATAAAAATATCACATTGTGTCAACAGCAGAGGACGTAGGGGGCAACCTACCAAATCCACTCCTTATGAAAACCAAATACTTAAGCAAATCTTCCCTGAACTGTATGTAAAGCTACGCTGCACTCAATTCTGATTTCTGAAAGCAAACCCAGGTTAACGTTCTCAGCTCTTGATTGCTGCTACTGTAGAAATGGTCCAAATAATGCTTGAACCTTGCATGAACGCAGGGCCCAGGCGAGCAGAAAGAGCCGAACACTGATGTGTGATCGCTTCCACTACTGCCACTCATCACTCCTTCTGACCACAAAATACATGTAAAGGTTCCTTCAATCACTCAACTTCTAGGTGGTTTTCATAAAGATGGTACAGAACAAGTTTGGGCAAAACTCAAACTGCMCTCTGACTTCCAGACCGAAGCCCAGATCAGCCCTACTTTTGACTTCCACTTGACAGCTTAAATACAAGACAGCAAAACGTCCAGGCTCTACAGACGGTACGGAGAGATTTAGCTGAATTACCTCCCTCAGYCTAAACACTGAAGTCACCTGTTTGTTTGCCATGAATCAAAGTAACCAAAAAATCTGAACTTTTCACAGAACTCCTCCATGGGAAAGAAACACTACTGTATCTTACCAAGCATTTTTTTTTATCTAATAACAGCACACACACTTCTTTGTATCTATTTTGGACAAAAATGGACAAATACAATGGCCACAACAGAGGCTTTTAAAGTTCTCTTTCAGTTACTCTTAAAACTTCTCGCTTTTAGATTAACTGCTATAAATGGTCCATCTTTCTTGGGCTTTAGGAGGTCAGATTGCTCATAGATGGCAGAGGGATCATGAGAAAGTAACTCCACTACCACAGACTGGAATCTTATCCAAATAAGTGATCACTGGTATTTTGGCCCTTGAGAACCAAAAAATATCCCTGCCACAAGCCCAAGCTGATTCATCCCTCAGTCTTACCCCAGGAGTGACCTATGCCAGCTCACTCGGTGATGAAAATCTTGAGCCCCGGCTCAGCTGGAGAATTCATAACCTGAATCAGTGGAACACAGGACTTTGGGGCTTGTAAAAGTGAMGGCATCCAAGAGTTTCTATGAGGCCAGGAAAAGATTTTTCTTCCATGTATATAAAGCCTTTAAGAAATGATTCATTCATCACCACGATGGATGGTTTTATTCAAATGCTACTTTTTGTGTTTCTTACATGAATGTTAATCATAATTATTGCTTCTTTTTGGAACTCAACCCCAATTAAACAGGAAGATGTGGTCTAACTGGGGACTCTTCTTTGCAGCAGAACAGAGCACAAATGCTAAACATTAAATGCTTCATTTCTCCAGGAAGTTTCTCTTGGATGAATGCACCCAAGAGAAACTCAGAGAAGTTTTCTTTTCTTTCTTTTTTTTTTCTTTTTTTTTTTTTGTAAGGAACTAAGTGAACATTTGAACCTAATGTTTCATTATCCTTCCGTACTAAAGGCAAATTTGGAAAGTTGACTGTTTGAAGCTCCAAAGGAATATCCTTAAAAGAAAGTCAAAGCAAAATAAACAACAAAAATCAATTACCCCAACGGGAACYACCACTGCCCTCTACAGCCTTTTCAAAAAAACATTCCTCAGATCAATGCAAAATTTGAGAACTTTCTCCATACCAGGTAGCCACAGAGAAGTGTGCACTTGTGACTTTAAAGGATGCTATGTAAAAATAAATTTAAGCATAGATTATCAGGGGCCCCATCTTTAAAATTCATGGTGAATTCTGACTGATTCAAACCCATACTTTGTGGTGCTGGATACATGCTCCMAGTTAACAGGTAAACCAGTATTTGCCTCATGCAAAGCTGCCYAGGGATGCCCAACAGAAGTCCCCCTTCTGGCCGGTCCCTGGGTTTTTGCTGGGTTCCTGGCACCCGGCACCCACTGCCACACAAGAGGTGGCCCCAAACCCTGGGGCTCGCACAGAGTGACCAGTCCTGGCAGAGGCTGAAGGAGGAGGCAGAAATCCACAGTTCCCAGCTTAGGCACCTCCCAAGGCATCAAGGAAATGTGAATTCAGCAACTGTTCCCCCCTCAAAAAAAAAAATCCAGAGAGATGGGAAGAGCCCTGCATTACCGTAAGTCCTCTTTGGACATCTGTTAGAGAAGTGGGAGAGAACAGAGGGGAAGAAAAAAAGGGAGAAAAGCTTGAATAAAGCATTCTTTCTGCTATTTAAAAACAAACAATAGTTTGTATCTTGCCATAAGGCTGGAACATTTTGAACATGATAGAAAGGAAGGAATATCCTCTGTCAAAGGAGCAGCAGGCAACTTCCATATTAGGTCAACGTTTCTGGGTTGTTATTCAAACCTACTAAAACAGATATAATAAGAGACAGAAGTTGGCACAATTCTATTTATTACCGTAAATGCTGCAATGCCAAGCTGAACAGCATAGTCAAGTCTTAGAAGAAAAAAAAAAACATTCCCAGAGTCAATGCAACAGTCTGAGTTTCTGACCTCTGGGCTCCTGGGAATCAGGTACAATTAAATCAGCACGGGATAAGTTTCATCAGTAGTCTCTTGTTTTGCAGGCCTGCTTTCTCATTAACAAATCATTATGACAAAAATGGAACAGCAGAAATGCACAGATATCTTTAGACAGGGAGATAACTAGCTGCTTGACTTCAAGACACATGGGCTTGTTTCAACTGTTGAGTTGTTTAATTCCACCTGTTGGGGTATACAGGGAAAAATGAACAAATTGAGGGTTAGGCTGTCTTTCAAGTGACTAAAAACAAGACTCTTATGCCTCACAGTCTGACAGCTTGTGTTCCCTGTTCCCTACCTTGCTCCTGAAGAGACAAACTAACTAGTTAGCTCAAATGCTGAAGCCCCAGGGGTTTGCTTTTGCAAGTGTGCATCTCCCCTAGCAGAAATGCTCATTCAGCATTTCCATTGCACACTCTTTAACAGGTTGAGATCTTAAATCCCATAATTTTCCCCAGATTAAAAATTTGGCACAAAAACCTCTGGTCAGACCTGAAGCAGATCTTGCTTTAGAAATAGATTTAAGTTTATACTGGAAAGAATAAATATTAAAAAAAGAAATCTGTAAAGCAATGTTATTTTTTATGAAATCCACATTAGCTTCTGCAGTTGTTGGCTCAGAGTTCAGATGGCACCAAATGTTTCTCTGGTCTGTTATGCTCAGACAAAGACCCACTATAGAGCTAGGGCAGCTTTGCTTTTAGAAGCAGCCCCATGAATTGTTGAACTAAACACCTGTTTTAATCTGCTTCTAATAGGTTTCATGACAGATTTTTTTCAAGCATTATTCAAAGATGATTTCAGCCCCCCCTTAAGAGGAGCTTGGATCTATCCCCAGACTTGCGGAGAGTCCAAGAGATCGTGACTGTGTATTGGGAGCCCTTCTCCATTAAGTTCCTTAGGAAATCACCTTTGCCTGTTTTTATGCGCTCTACGGGTAGACTTAGCTCAACACGACCAGGACTATAACACCCTGTGACCTCAGTGCACAAGCAGCAGCAGTCTTGCCTGCACATGTGAAACTTTTGAGGACAGATCTGCAATTTGTTCTTTGTCTTAAGAACCAGGCTAACCTTGCTCCAATATTGCGATGGCTGCTCTTCTGCAGGAGGTCCTGTGCTACTTATCACAGTCTGCACTGAGCTCAACGGACTCGTCCAGTGACATAAGAGATACGTGACATCTATCTCTGGGGCAGCCAGACCCTGGCGGCACCATGAGATAATGATAAAGCAGCTGCAAGTACTTCTGATGCAGAAACCCTCTGTTACGGACTGTACTGCTGTAGTGGAAAGAAATGCAACTGGAAACAGGCTACCACAAAAATCTGAATTAAAAAAAAGCAGCAGTATTTATGTTCTTTCAACACCATGTACGTGAGCATCTGGAAAGGCACATACTTGACGTTAGTGTTGGTGCAGATGATGTATTCGATCTCATCAGAATAAGGATTCTGAAATGTGAAGCTGCTGGTTCTGATCAACATCCATTCCCGGTTTTTGGTACGAAAACGATACATCACAGACAGGACTTGACCTTTCAGTTTCACAACCTGCAAAACCATTTGGAAAGGTTACTGACAGCAGATTGCTACCTGCGGTGCAAATTAATTGTAAACCATATAACTGGTGTGTTTTAGACCTAAATTAAAGAAAGATATGGAAACAGTAGGGACATTATTAATACAATGAGAATAAACAAAATTCCTTTTTGAATTCATTCAGAGAGAAACTTGCATGCTTTGCTATACAAAATGTCCTCTCCCAATTTGCATGCAAGACTTGTACAGACTCAGGAAATAACAGGTTRTGCTATTACCCCAACAGAGAAGCTTTAGGGAAGTTTTAATGTGGAAAGTTTATCAGGAGAGATTGACAGAAAGCAAACTGAGGCATTCCTTAAATATTTATACGCACATCATAAAGCAACTTTTCAGCACCTGAAAAGGAAGTCTAAAACAAAACACATTTTGGGAAGTTGCCTTTTTTCCTTCTTGGATAGTTAGTTATCCATTTCACATATGTGAAATTCAAAATCATACATTAGAATCAAAGTTTAGGATTATATATWTATAAAGAAACTGTATCTGGTTGTTTTTCTTTTATCTCCCAAAGATGCTACAAGTCTGACAAGTCTTYGTCCTAGTGCCAAAACCTGTTTTCAAATTATGAATATTCCTGTAATACTCTGAATGCTGCCTATCTTTCTCCATCCTTGCAGCGAACGCCTGCCTGCATCCTTGGGGCTTCTGATTCACATGTCCCTGATGGATTAACCTCTGTCACTTCTCTCCACAGGGTGGTGACAGCCCTTCCAGGCAAATCCAGCAGAAATGCTCCGTCACCACAATTTTTAGACCAGCTTATTAACATGACTGGAGAACGGTGATAGCTGAGCAGGAAACACTTCTGCCAGCTCAGCCCTTTTGATCACAGGGCAGTGAGGTTTGCCAGAGGGCTGGGGAGGGCAGCTTGGGGCCCCTTCTCCCAGCGTGATTTGGAAGAACTCATGGGAAATCCCTCTCGAACGCTTCTTAAAGGCAGAATCTCTCCAAGCGTCTGCTCATATCTCCACTTGGRAAGACAACCACGTCCTTGAAGACTACAAAAAGGCTCTTTATGGGAATGTCAGGGGACACAACTCACACAGACCACTGGCTACAAGGAAGACTATTCAATAAAACCACTTCCAGAGGTCCTGCCCAGTGCCTTGGTGTCGTACCTAGCTAGAGCTCTGCCAAGCATCTGCTCCCTTCTGTCTTTACCAGCTCCTTCTACTGAGATGAAGTGCTTTAAAACATCATCCTCGTGCATCTGTTCCTTYAAAGCAATCTTTCTTGCCTAAAGGCAGGCAAGACCTTTTATACCTCATTTTCCTAAGAGTATAACCAGTTCTCCTCAACTCTGTTATACTGCTCTATAAAAGTCTCCCAAGAACAGTTTAGAGCTCTGAGGGAATATCAAGAAAGAAAATCCAAGCACTGATGTGATGAACAAGCCAAAAAGAGATGAATATTTATCATAAATGATATATATTTATACAATAATGTAAGACGGCCCCCTCAGCCCCCTGCAATCAATAAGACAATTACTAGGGATAGGAGGAGAGGAACAAAACACTACAAGATTTGGACAGGGAAACCAAAAACAGTGTTTATGCTGCCCAAGATACCACAAACAGTTGGGAAAAGGAATAAAGAACGTAACTAMATTTCTTCCAGAAAACATGAGTGAGAAACCAGAAGGATATTAAAAAAAAACAGAGAAAGGAAAACATAATTAAAGGGATGAAAGAAGAAGAATATAAGTAAAAAGGGGAAACTTCAATTATTTAGACAATAGTTAATGGGAAAGACAAACAGTGGAAAAAGAAATAGCTCCTGGTCTGTCTCTAATGTGTAGGTGAGTTTTTCAGTGTTGTATAAACCTAGCAAGGTCTTGCAGGGAACAAACAGACCGCGGAGTATGAACACACAAAAATATGCAAAATTATGTTAGATGGAAACAAGACACATATACACAAGATAAATATCTAAAGAGATAATTGCAGATGAAAAAAAGTCACAAGTGCTTTGTCTCAGATTCAGCAAAATACTTAAGTGTGCTAAGCTTACGATCTAATGGGAATTTAGCATGTGCTTAAATTAAACAGCTCTTAAGGGCATAATTGAATATAAATGAACCTACCACATGCTTATATTTAGGTACATGCTGCAGTGCTTTGCTGAAATGAGCCTTGAAAATTATGTGTGCAATACCTGCCAAAGTTAAAACACTCCATTCCTAAGAGCTAAGCTGCAGCTGATAAATATATAAGAATATCCACTTAAAAACAGCTCCAGTGATTTTACAAAGCTAGCCAAAGGTTATGCATCACAAGACAGTAATTGAGGAAATCCAGCATCTTTGCACTAAAAATAGGCCACACAGTTAAACCAAATGAAAGATTATTAGTGAACCTACCCAAAACAAGCTAGAATGGCAGAGTGCTGACAAGAAATGCTTTTATCTTTCACAAGTGAAAAAATAAGCCACCGATCTGTGAATGTAGACAACACCAATAAGGTAAGGTCTATTTTTAAAGTGTTAATTAAAAGAGTGAGAATTTGTCACTTGGATGGTCTGTTTGTTTAGAGCTAAATCAGAGTTCAGATGTCTGGTAATATCCAGTCCAGATTTCGTCTCTGACTGCCAACAGTTGAAGGTAACAGTTGAGTATCCGGTAAGGAATTTCAGCATCAGACTGTCACCACCATGGGCAAAACCAAGGCTTTGACGGCAAGGCCCCACAACGTAACCATGGGCTGTCTCAAACTGCACAAACAGGTCGTGGGCCCTACTGACTCTGCCAACCCATGGCCTAGTCCAGACTTTGACACCTAAATCTGTCCCCTCTATGCAACAACCTGGATGAATTTAAGCAGCAGTCAACCAAGGAGGTATCTCAAATAAATACTTCTGCACTGGCACTTAACTACATTGCACATGCTATCTAATATTAGATTATCTAATAACTATTGCACATGCAACATGAGTTTAGGTCAGGGGAAGACTTAAAAGGTTTAAAGGCATTTTGCTGGCACTAACCTGGGCTATTTGTATTCATTTTTTATTGCTTTTTCATCAAGCTATCTCAGAGGTGCCTCAGGGAAGCATAGGGAAGGTATACTGCAAATAAATGACGTATCTTATTGTGGAGTCTTAATACTTAACCTCTGGAATTTATTTTTACTAGCTACCTAGAGCCTGTTTTCCCTAAAAGTATTATTTTAGCAGAAAAAAAGTATTTACTCTGTATCTTTATGAAGAAATAGTGAGGTTTGAAGATGTGCTCCAACCCTTTTCCCCATCACCAAAGGGCTGTATTTCACATTGATCAGGTAGATACAGGATTAAATGGAAAGAATGCAAACAGGAGGCAAAGTATTTTGAGTAATGCCCTGAAAAACGTTCAAAATACTTAAGTAAAAAGCTTTTTCTCAATAAATGCTTTTGTAGTTTGAGTTCAGTGAGCCACATTCTGTTATCAGAGATTTTCTACCACCACACCCAGAGAAAAGAATACCAACCAAACGTGTGTAGAAATGTCCAATCTGAGCAGCATCCACTGGATATCAGATAACTGTTTTCTGGAACCTTTGATACTAAACTCTATTTGTTGATCTTGGCCTTGAGAATATCTCATTCTGGCTTGATTTTCCCACCCTGCCTGATGAATGAATTTATCTTCCCAAGGAAGAAAAAGCTTTGAAATGGAGGCTGGCGACAGACCAAAAACTGCAAAACCCTCCCTCCCTCTTACTGTTACACACCAATCTGGTTCTGATACTGTCAGCAAAATAGGAATGTGAAGTTTTCAGAGGGTTTGAGAGAAAAAAAATAAAAAAGGAGTTTACTGGAAATCACAGAGTCACAGTTACTTTTCAGTGAAAGATTTCTATGGCCAAACTAACAATAATAAAACAAACTGCAATTATCTATTGTCCTGGAGCATGAATTAAACAAACACTAATTCTGTAATAATATATAAAGCACAGATCTCTCTGGTGGGAAAATCCTCAGCTGTCTTAAACCAGCACACACAAACAGGGCAACAAAAGATTCCAAGCTTATGTTTAACCTTTACTTTTAAACATTCTTCAGGAATAAAAACCACCTGGTGCAGAGCTGGCCCATTTGGTTCAGTCTTATTCCATGAAGAAAATCACAGCGCCGATTGCATTGCTACTGTACAGAACAAAAATATACAGAGGAGGAGCTGCCTGCTAAAGAAACAGTGCAGGATTTTCATAGTGAACTCTGGCTCAGGGAACAGGAACTTTTCACTCCTGCCCTTTTTCCACTGTCTTGTTTTGTGACCTTGAGCAGATCATATAGGTCCCTGGATCCAATACATCATTTATTCATAGGCCTAATATCAAGTAGTTACTTGGTAGTCCCCAGCAACTGGCTTCAGGGATGCAACAGCAGCCTCTTATGGCCTGATCTCACTCTCACTGAACACGGTGAGGATGGAGTCATTAATTTGTATGTTCGTTAGCCAGCCCTTGTGAGCCGCCAGCTGTGTTAAGACAATCACTTTAGGGATGGATATTTGACAAGTTATTACCCAGCAGCTTTTTGTCACTGTCTCTCACATAAATTAGTGCAATCAATCACTGGAGCATTAGTGAAAAAGCAGCGTGTGTTCTCGCTGCGCTTCTCACACCACTGTGCTGGTCAGGCACCACGTCAGGGAGCTCAACCACCTGAAAAGCAGCCCCAAATAAAAGTGATTAATCTCTTAGCTAGCTCACCCAGCAAGTCCATCTGTGTACGTGTCAGGAGAACAGGAAAGGTAGGGAAAAGGTCAGGGATGAGAGAAAAAAAAAGGAGCGGGACCTTGCTCTTGGTGCCAACTAACTAAGCTGAACAACCATGAGGCAGGTTTAGTAACGCCCAGCAAGGCAGGGCTGGAAACATGACAGGGAGCCATAACCTGTATCAGGAGCGTCTTAACATTGSTCTGTCTCTGTCTGTGAATCAACATATTAAATTTAAAAGGTCCTCAGCTGCCATCTGAACGCAAAGCACCGATGTGGTCCTGACGCAGTCCCCACACAGTCACAGTCTTTGTCACTAGCTTAGCGGAGGGGTTAGTAATCTCCCCTTGAGGCAAGAAATAGCCCGGGAGCAGCGTTATCTCAGACATTTCTGCAGGGACCATAACCTCAATTTCACACCTTATTCTACAAACACAGAAAAACATTTATTGCTTTCCCCAGAGAGGTTTTGCAGCTCCATGCTGCATGTTATTCCTGAATAAATACTTATTATACAAATTATTTTAAAATTCACTTCATACAGTGTGACGTACACAGGCATCTCTCAAACAGTAATTTCTAGAATGGCTTAACTTAGCAGTGAACAGTCATTTAATTTTTAGTAAAGTAAAAATTGTCTGACATGCTTCCGAAAATACTAATAGCTAACAGGTGCTGTAGTTTAAACTATCATTTATGCAGTTCAACTGATCGTTAGTTTATTAAGAAATTAATTTATACCTTGCTACTCCTCCTGCATAACAGAAAAAGTATCCTGAAAAGAAAAGACTTCCTGGACAAAAACAAACAAACAAATAAATAGTGGAAGAAATAGAGCAGGCCACAGCACCTGTTGGAAACTCTCTCTCAAATGGCTTTGATCTTCAGGATGGCAGAATTCTAAAATGTCTTTCCCCAGAAGATCCTAGAAATACAAAACAAAGCTTGTAAAAGAAAAAAAAACAAATCAGAGTGCAAATTCATATCTGCATATCTGTAAGTAATCCTTGCAAACACCAGATCCATCACCCTCAATGGGTGCTTACTTGCTTAACCAGGGACAAGTCCCACAAACAAGATTTGTAGGTATCATGGTCCATATTCTATTTATACTGCTGCCCAGTATAAACATAGATTTTAATTGAAATTTTAATACCTGAAAAATGGTCTGAAACCAGCACAGACAATTAAAGCTCATTTTACAKCGCTATTATTTGTAAGAATAGTTGCTATAAAGCTACATAAAATCAATATAAATATGAAAAACAAATGAGCTAAAGACAAAATGCTTTTTCCCTGTAAACTGCAATTCCTGAGACCAGAAAAGAGTTACCATTGGGATTAAAAGGTTGATAGTGCTGTGGTAATTAGGAGTTCATTTACTATTCTATTCAGTTATGACTAGCCTTTATTCAAAGGAGCAAATGCAAGCCTAAAGGAAGATAGATGCAATAAAATGGTGTTTGCTTACTGTCCAACTGATTGTTAGAAGTTACAGTTAAGGAGTATATATAAGGTCTACAAGGACTAAGACTCGCTCTAAGCACTGTTAACATTCTATCACAGAAAAGTCCTCATTGGAAAGAAGTGTAAGATTTAAAGCAATTTGTTGTTAGAATTGAATTTGGACTTAAAAGGGATAAAGTGATTTCCCACACGACAAAAAAAAAAATCTCTAAATTTTAGAGGCATGAATAGCAAAGAAAAGCAAATAGCATTTAGCATCTGACATGCGAATGATAAGCTGGAAATATTTCATATTTTGCTGCTTTTGCTCTTAATGTGCAAATAGTTTTTAAATAATATTTCTAAGCTGTCTCTGCATTCACAGCCATTTACTGACCTGGGGCTGGTAGCCAATGACGCTGATGCATCTGGGGTCAACAAAGGTGATGACTCCATCAGAGTTGTGTCTAGACAAGAACTCGGTTGGGACTGACATGCCGTTCATGTCCATGCACACTGGAGAGCTGGTTACCTAAGACCAAGCAATCAAGTCCACAGCATTTAGTTCACAGAATAGTCATTGTAAGTCAGATTTGCTTATTCTGTTCAAAGAAAAAAGAAAAGCTAGTGGCAGACTGCTAACTGCTGAAGGAAGTTACAAGTATAACACAGATATATGACACAGGACGGGTTTCAGTTTAGTTTCTATTGCAAATAAGTGTCCTTATGGCACTTAGAGGATTCCAACAGGGCTGTGTTCACCTCACATACTGGAAGCACCTTAAAGCTGGACATCTTGATGCCCATTTTTGCCAACTAAGAGTGAGATATTTCCAGAAAACAAGTCCACCAGCCGACAGAATGGCTTCTCTCTAGAAAAGCTTCACTCACTACTTCATTAGCAGCTCTATCTAACATTTCTATCATTGTCTAATGCTCCTGAAAGCTCATCAGAGCAAATGAAGCATTTCCAGCGATCTACCTGACACCTGTGCAACTGGAACACTTCATCTCCTTTCCTAGTAGGGCTACAAATGAGACTATCCTTTTCTTACAGTCTTCAGGGTCATCTCTCAACTGGGCACAAATGCAAAAAGAATCAAATCTCATTTTTCAGTCTTGCCCTGAAGCGTAATAACTTGTATGCAGGATTTCAATTTGCTGTTATAGAGCTTGGTTTTTAATTTGTGCACTTTGACTCCTTTATGATTAAGCCCGTGGCCAGAGCCTCCTCTTGCCCTCCCTCTCATAGCGCCTGCTGGCTTCATTTATGTAACAGATGTTTTGACACTCCATGTTACTAATGCAATTTTCTGGGAAACSATCTTTTTTGGCAGATATAACATCCGAATCACTGTAACTTGCTTCTTTCCATTAGTAGAATATTTTATTCTTGATTACAAAAGTATAATTAACTCAAAAGACATCATGCAACATCCTGTGGTTCTGCCGAAGGGAGACAAACTCTGCAGAAGAGACAGCACTTTTCTTAACATGCAGGTTGTTCCTCTCAGACAAAACTGCTTTGGTACTTGTACTCCAATTAAAGGGTTATTCTACCTTGTGAGAACTGATGCCATCCTAACAGATGGCAATGAGTACAGGCCAAGAGATCCTGCAGTAGACTCAGAGACTTTCACTAATGGCTGAATTCTTAGGTCAGGAAGATAAAAATTAGCCTGTTCACTGCTGTGATAACAGAGATTCACCTCAGCTGCTCTGGTTTCAGCTCAAAACTCTTATCAGCAATGAAAAAAGGAAGAAAATATATCACTTAAAATAATCATGACAAAAAGAAGGTAGAATTTTATTTCCACGATTTCCTTTATCCATGCCCTATCTAAATGCACAATAGATTACATATTGAGAACAAAGCTGTAATTTGTGAAATATCTCTTGACTGTCTTACCTATTATGTTCAAAATAACCTCTAAACCTACAGTTTTCCAAGTAGTCAATTACAGAGAGAAGGAGAGCAAAGCAGACAGCGTATCAACTTCGGGAGGAACTTGAATCGACCACCTACATCATCTGCACCCCCAAGTTTATCACTACCTAGAATATCCCAGCCTACTCTAACTTTGAGGATGGCATGGGTGATAATTAGAAGCATCTTCATTACTGCTGTCGGGTTGAATAGCAGTATAGGCCAGAACAACATTTTCAGTTACCTTTACCAGCAGTTTTTAAAAAGTTACTGGTTGTACACACGCATCCAGGGCCTTTTTTTTTGGAAAAATGTACAAAACACAAAGCTCTGAACAAATCATTTACAGCTAAATCAGAGCACTGATGATGCTTTCAAAATAGTTCATATAATGAAACACTTCCATTACCTGAAGCCTTCCTATTGCCACGAGGCAATATTTACTACCTTGTCCAACATCAGCATCTTCTTCTGGTATAGTCATTCCTAAAGAAAAACAATAAAGAGATGCTGCTGGTTTAGTTTTATCTAATTCCAGGTACTTTGAATCACACAAAATAATCTTCTCATTTTCTCTAGGATTCAGATAGTATCTCTGGGTTCATATCAGATAATCTTGCTTAGTTGTATTCTGTCCTACACACTCAGCAGACATATAGAGCAACCCTGGCTGCTGAAGAGGAAGCAGATGCACAAGTTCCATTATAGCAGCCAACAGCTGGACGTTACTGGAACCACGGTGTCATTTAATACGTTACGTCAATACACACTATACTCAGTTTTCTTTTGTGAATAAATATACTAAAATCATTCTTAAACAAGGCACAGCTCAATTTATTCATTAGCTGTGTGCTCACACTTAACAGTCAGGTTTATTTTTTTCCCCTATAATAGACAAAATCTGGGTCAATATGTTGAAAGATTGAAAATACATGGATGTTACTAAGTGGTCACTGCAGTTGTGTAACAGGAGTAACTGTCACAAACAAATGAATAATTTCAAAATATACACGTGCACTCTTTTCCATCCCAGTGCTTTACAAATAGAAGCATTCAGGAGATTAGTTCTGTTTACTTGTTAGTCAGCTAAGTCTAGCAAGGCTATTTCCCAACCAAAGCTTTAAGATAGCCATTTCCTATGAGGCATTTCAAAAAACATCTACCAATAGCAACACTACTGGCTGATTTTAAGGGATTTGCAAACTCTTTTACAAGGCTTTCCAAGGAATTCAGTCACAACAGGCAGTGAATCATTTAAAATGCATTTCAAGGCACTAATGAATTTATTTGTAAAGTGGCTACCAATTACGAAACAAAAGCAACTTATTTTTCCCCCCATAAAATTTGTAATTCCCAGTACAAGTCAATCTTTGGACCAGGCAGAAGATGACAGTATACAACTTTTTTGAATGATGCCTCTGAAAAAACAACGATAAATGCTGATAAATGAATGGAAGTAATTTCTTAAAAAACTATTTTGGACCAAAAGAATTCAATCTTTTCTGATGATCAGTTTCTAACCATAATTCTATAGGCACTTTTCATTTTCTACCAAGATATATAATGAAGTAATCTATACATTTTGGAATACATAGTGGAATTCAGTTTTGGGGATGTCACCTCATTCACAGCCTGCAAGAGGCAACCAGGGTTTTATCAGGGTATCTCAAGAGCTTTATAAGCAAAGAACATTATTGCCCCTTACAAGTGTGGACCTGAAGTGACTAAGAATTTCACTGTCATATGCAGCAACACAGCTGGGAACAGAACTGTTGTTTTCTGCACTAGAGCTTTGCTTTTTAACCTCCAAATCTTAGTGGTTCCTCTCAATAAAAGCCAGGATACTTCCTTTGAAATGCTTTCATGGAAGCTCTGTGAGAAGTCTGAGGTAGCACTGTGTGACACTGGGAGTTTATTTAAACAATCACTCATTAAACACAGAAGTTAAAAATAACACTGGGCTGAATCCAAGCACGTCATTTTTCAACTGACCTTTYCCTTCTGTGTTTCTGCTAAATGCCCCTCCTTGAGTTTCGAGGGACCAAAGCTTCTACTGAAGAGCCTTCACTCAACTTGCACCATACAAAATATTCCCAAGACCAYAAGTTGCAGTCACACATGGGGCTGCTCTGCATGGCCTGCAGTTAATAAGAGCGAGGTTCTTCAAGCAGGTATATTACAAAGTGTTTTGACTTTTCCCATATCACTGTTCCAGCTTCTCTTGTGTTACATATGAGACAAACTATAAAATAGACTCCAACCACAAACAGGTCTCATGCTGGGGGACACCACTGTASCCCTGAATATAAAACACTGCCATGAAACTGGAGCTAAGGGATGAATTTTACGTATTTTTTTACTTTCCTTGCTGTGTTCACACACACAGTAATTCCTTAGTACCTCTAAGTCTTAATTAGCAGCTAATGACAGGTATAATATACAAAGAAAGAGAACCTGGCTGCTTCTTGACAAGAGAGAGGGACAGAATCAGCCTGGAAAAGCAGCAGCAAATGTATCTACTGAAGGGTGTCCACATAAGGCAGAAATTTGGCAGCCATGTGGCCATCTGCTCACATATGTGTGTGTATGCGGGTGAGCTGCAGAGAGGAAGCAATGAGCACACGAGCAATTTTCATCTCAAAGGGGCAGAAAATGGTTAACTGAGGATTATGTGGAGTTTTCAGGGCATGTTAAATGGAATCCAACACAGTTTCGCTTTCCAAAGCGGTGAACAGAAGCATGAATTAAGTGACGTGGCAGTTTCGAGAGAAGGATAGAATCTAATGCGAGGGAAATGCAGCAGAGGACATTAAAGAAAAGAGGAAAGAAAGAACTGGGGAATRGCAGAAATGACCGTAACACTTCAGCTGGAAGGTGGCCATAGGGGCTGCATCCCTTGGGAAGACATCTCCTCCAATTACTCCTCCAGCCGTGAACCCTGCAGCATGGCAAACATGCAATTTAACTAGCCAAAAGAAGCTGTATTTTAGAAATTGGTGCCCRAAATAACCACATTTACATGCAGACAGCTCAGGGGGCCGATGTGAGGGATGGTAAGTGACTGCAGTTCCAGCCAGCTCTGAAAGTTCTTCTGAGTGCATGGCTGGTGCCTCTAGGAATTGGGCTACTTCAACACAGGGGCCAACGAGTGATTTTAAGAAAATAATTTTAGACACTCTATTGCTTAAAATTTTACCCCCCCTTTTTTTTTTTTTTAAATTAAGCTTTCTGTTTGGATAATGCTAACCAAAATTTCCCATTTTAAATAGAGGTTTTCTACCTAAAAGGGACAAGTTCAGGGCATTTCTCCTTCATTTCAAAAGCTTTTTCAGTCACTTCTTTAGGGGCACAGTATATTGCAAAGGACAGCACAGATACTCAGCTGGATGGCTTCCACCTTGCATAATCTTTTTTGCTGCAGTTTTCAACAACACTTTCCTTTTTAGGAACTTGGTTCAGCCTTGCTACTGCCCAAATAAACTCAAAGCAACATAAACAATCTCCAAAATTAAACCTAGCTAAGAAACACCATTCCTGATGGAACTCGGTGTTGGCAAGGGAGGCTGTTGTTCTAAGTTTCACTCTCCCTCCACTCCCTCAGCTCCTTCTTCAAGATGGATTACATTAAGTCTTTATAACACACTGGAAAATTTATTAGTTGTGTTATGCCACAAGGCACACTATGAATAAAAAACAATCTGCCTGGAATTAATCAGTACCTGACCCAGTGAATTGCTAACCTTTCCCTAAGTGTCTAGAGCAAAAAGATGCCAGAACGACTGCCTGCAATTTAGGCCTGCTCTTATTGAGAGTATTCCCTGGATRGAAATGATTTTCTTTACTCTCTTGCTGATAACTACAAAGATTCTACTGTGCATGTGCTCATATATGAGGATGAAGTTGCAGAAGAGATTTACTTTTGATTTAATAAACTTTGGAATGAATGTACTTCAGAAAGGACAGGGAAATACAGATATGTGCACTGCACCTAATGCTGMTTTGTCCTGCTCTTCACAGAGCCTAATATTGCCCTGTAAGTTCTTCAAGACATCAGTATTTCCAAAAAAAAGTTCATCCAGGAGCAAGGCCGTGAAAATGACCTTTTAGAAAGTATAAGCAAAATAAACACGCGTTATTCATATTCTTCACATGTAACCCTGAGAGAGGCTTTCTTTCTCAACATCAAATATATGCTCCTCTTGGATGACAAATATACTGCTATGGTTGTTCAGGTTACTATCAACAACTTGCAAGGCTAACCCTGCAGCTGAGCATCAGAAATAAAACAGTGTGCAGTTAGAAGTTATATTTAATTTCCTAATGTCCATGGGATGCCAGCAAACAGTATCCGACAGGGCAACAGAATGTATTTGGGTGGACATAAGGAAATTATTATTGTTACTTTTTAGTTTTCCCCACTGAGCTTCCAGTTGGCCCTACCAGCAGAACAGCTTCGTCTGCTGCCTTCCATCCCCACCCCTTTGCCCTGTATTTTCGGTGAGATACAGAATAGTTTTAGTGAGCTTGTGGTTTCACTTCACTAGACCAAAAAATAAAAGATTTACAAGTGTTTACAAAGGCAGAATTAAGTCCACAGCAGTCACTAGCAACTCCCTGAATCTGCCCATCTCCTTCAGACCACTTAGTGATAGCGCGAAGCTGCATGATGCTACCTCCCAAAGAAGCTTCTCCTACGCAGCAGGGCAAAAAGGATTTGCAAAAAAGTTCTATGGATGTTTACAGCATATCAAGGAGCAAATCTCATGAAAAAATCCCCACAAAAAAAGATGATAGTCTTTTACTTTAAAATAAAACTTCAAAGATGACAGTACTGCCACGAATATTTGAGCAACTATTTTGTTTTGTATTGGAAATGGGAATACTCTGCGCAAACGTCCAGATTCTGGCAAAAGCTGTAAAATAATCTAACAACTTTGGCATGTTGTGGTTGAGATGTTACCGTAAGTCTGACTTTTGGAAAACTAAGATGTTTCTTTTTTTAAGATTAAAAAAAGACGAAGGAGGAAAGAAAAGAAAAAAAAAAGATTTCAACATTTGAGTTCACTATTATTATTACTTTTTAAAAGTTTTTGAAATAAGTATCTATTCAAGCCTTTTCTTCATATTTTTCATCCCTTCAGGACCTGGCATTGATTTACAAAAATCTAGCAACATCTAGCTACAGAAGACTGTAGCTTCTCCCTCTACCAAATATTTTCCATCAATTGTTATGGCATGAAGAAATCTATTAGGAAAATACCATATGGAGAACATACGATTCACTTCCTTCCAGAATTAAAATTCTTGGGGGAGGGGGAAGAGAAAAAAAGTGTTTAAGTTTAACATGAAATGGTAAGGAATAAGTTCACATTTGTAGGTTCTGAGACTGGTTACCAGCTTGAAGCAGTCTTTAGGCTGAGCGCCACAAGGTCTTTTAGCTGTTCTGCTCCATGGAAYAGAGGAGCAAAGGCTGGGCCTGGTATTAGGCCCATTTCAAATAAAGCATCTTCTGCCCCATGCAGAATGAGCCACCATGGCACCATCAGGGTTTATTCTCACATATCAGCCATGTAAGAAACAAATGGTGGAACTGTCTGGAAAGTGGAGCTGCAATAACCAACCTCTTTTTCATTCATCTCCTCCACAAAGTCCAAGCCAATGCATTAACAAACCAWGTCGGAACAGATCTGCTCCTCAAATACGAGTGGAATATGAGCGAGGTATGTGCTGCCCATTGGCCCTATATGCTCCGTGTTCATTTCTGTGCAGGTCATTGAAACAAAWCCAAAAAGTTACAGTCCTTAAAATGCAATGCTGTACTGATGCCAGTCATCTGKTTTTTTTTTAACCTGATTTAAATATTAAGATTGATCTGAGATTTAGCAGGGACTACTGACAGCAGAAGCATCTTCAAATCTCAGTCTGTTACATTATACATTCAAATCAGCTGGTACCACATTAATATTGATTGCAGAGCAGCTCTTGTCCTGATATTTCTGCATCCCTACTGTGTTACACTCACTGTTGGACTAAACAAAAATGTAACACATTGGCCACAGACAATGTAACATAACCCAGGAGGAGAAAACAGACRTGCTAAACAAAGGCAGACTGAGTGCATTTGATAAATATTTGTTATTTGTTTTTACAAAAGTATGTATTACTCTCTTGAGCACCGTATATTTGYTGCATGACTCAGGTGAGACACTGCATGCTCTGAAAGAAAAGGGTATGGAATATAGAGTGTCCACTTGGCAATTGAAAAATAAATGATAATGATCCTTTCCCTAGCTGATGTTTAAAGTACACGTGATTTGGCATAAACCCATCTACTCCCACAGACCACACAAAGCCCAGGGGTTTGCTACTCTCTACCTGATTTGAGCAGAAGTCATTTTATTATGGTGTAGAAGAGCCTTAGCAAATTCAATTACTCCCACAGTTATTTCATTTGTTTTGCACATTACAGCTGAATTACCATTGGAAATAGGAACAAATGCAGAGATATTTGCCACCGCTCTACTYGAATGTAGTGGGGAGCAGTTCAGCCTTTGGATACCCACATTCAGTTCCCCAAATTAAGGGACAGATGACAAAAACAAAACAAACRAACAAAMACCCACAAAGAGAAGAAGAAATCAAAGGGGAATGAACCCTCACRAAATATATCCCGATTCTGTACTCTGAACCCTAAAAATGGTACCCAAGTATGACTGTGCCGAGTAACAGTTTGGATAATAACACGTAAGACCACTCATATTCCACACAAGAGCTCAAAGATTGTAACATCCCTTATGAGGGTGATATAGTTTGGAGGCATTAACATTGTGGAGGAGCTCAGGGATATCATAAGGGGCTCATCATGTGATCTTGAKGAGTAATAGAAATGGAATGAAATTCAACATTACTAAATGCACAAGCATGCACTTGGGGACCAACAATTATCAAACTATAGCAATACAAACAGGATGGAAATTTATGCTATGAAATGTAGCCGAAAACGATTCATAGTAATGAACTGGAGATCTGTGCTGAGAAAAAACTGAGAAGAAGGTAGCCTTGTATACAAAGAGGTGATTCAGGATGCAGTAGGATGCACCGTAAGAAATATGCAACGTCCTATACTGACAGGAAGGGCAGGAAATTCTGTCGTCATTATATACCACTACAATCTCATCTGGAATGGAGTACATAGTTTTAGTCACCCACATTTTGAAAGGTTAAATTAAAACAGGGATAAGTGCAGAGGAAAGATACAAGGATAAAGGGAAGACAAGACAATGCACCATAACAGAGTMAATAAGGAGTAGGTTTGTATAACAGAGCAAAGTTCAGGCTGACAGGACATGACTTCTATCTGGAAATACAAGAGAATACTTGAGAGACAGAGAAACAAGACAGAAAAACTCCTGTTTGACCTTAAGTGAAATACTAGGCCAAGAATACACTGGCATAAACTGCTCATAAACTAATGAAGACCAGAAATTAGAGTGGTTTCTAACCATGATGGAGCAGTGAGGTTTGGAAAGAGCTGGAGCAGGGGAACTTCACTATTTAAACTGGCTCTTACAGGGAGATATCCAGCCACAGGACTCCCAAAGATCCCGAAGAGCCTTTTGAACCTGTGCTCCTTTACTGCAGTTACCCACTCCCCTATAAAAGCAACAACCAGAGGCTCTACTGCCGACACATTACCTGGCTTTGTCATGAATACACAGGAATACAAAAYGTTATCCCATATCCCAAAAGCTGCAGCTTTTCCATTTCAGCTGAGCAAGGAGCTGCAAGCATCTCATTCAACTTGCTTTTTTTTCCCTGAAGAGATACTCTGTGTAGCATGGCTGAACTCACTTATCTGAACATTCTAGTAGAAAAATTATCCTCTTTGTGAAAGATATAAAATATTTTGTTYTGACGGAGCAATTTACACACACTGTTCTGTTCTCTCATCTGAAATTGAAATGAAATTGAAACATTTTGACTTCTACACCACATTGAGGTRTATTAAGTTTATTAGCAAAATAAAGGAAGTTTTTTTGTACATTGCCTGCAATGTGGTTCTGAACTGCAGATCTCATATGAAACAAATTACCCTTACTCTGCTTGGCTGCACAAATTATAGTAACATTCATAAGCTTTGGTTTTGTCTGTATTGCATGTGCATGCACGTGTGTGTACACGTGTGTGWGAGATGTGAAAACATCGCTAAAAAAACTAATACCTAACATTTGAAACTGCAATTCTGTAGGAAATCAAGAAGTTTACATCTGTATGTTGAAACCTGCACAGTCTCRTATACATCCAGTATAAGCCAACTTTCAGCATTCCTAATCTCTGCATAAACATGACTTATGTTTGTGGTATAGGACCACAAAAGAACAGGACAACTCATGGTTTCATTCATGCCAGAAGGCACAGTCATATTAAAAACAACTTATTCAACTACTGCAAATGCCAAGGTCAGCCACCTCAGTTCATGATGATGCCTGGATGAACTCTACTGTCTCCTCATTCCGTGAATTTCCCAATGGAAATACTCCCATCTGTAATGTTGAGTTACAGTAGGTAAATGCTTGTAGTTCAAAGCAAGATGCCAAGATTCATTTCCCAGAAAAACAGCCTCAAAGTAGAACTTACCGCAAAGGCTGAGCATTCCCCACTAACACCACCATCTGCAAGCGGATGCAATTTAAATGTTCTCAAACATTTGTGTTTGCAGCTCAGAACTTAAATACAAAACCACTAGTTGCTTTTRCTTACAGGTACAACAGCTCTATATTTACCTTCTTAAAACTAGGCCATTTTTATGTAGGTTATCAGACTGAAAACCTTTGGMCTCAGCTGTTGTAATCCATTACTCAAGACAACTCCTAAATCTCTGTGGGCCCATGAAATTAAGAATGATTTCATGCATAAAGCCTGGGAGACCACGAGTGTGTAAAGCAATTGATTCTTGATAAAAAAGCTTCTCCAGATGAGACAGACAGGACTACCCCATAGAAATTTAGTCTTGTTCTGTRTTAGCAAATAGATGCTTACCCACATTTTCCTCTCATCTTGCAGGTAGTAGAGCACAGATACCTACCTGCTGGTGGCCAAGCCTTGATATAACCAGTGCAATGGACAACAGCATACTGTGCTTCACCTTCTTTAACTGGGCCAAGGCCATTCCTAAATGAAAAGGAAACAAAACAAAAAAACAAAAAAACAAACAAAAAAAAAAACAAAAAACAAACAAAAAAAAAAAGGTTGATCCACGGAAGAGCTTTATGATTTTTAACTTCTACTAAAAATTTAGATACTTTTAAGTTATAATAGAAACAGCCACCTTCAACCCAGAGTTTTGCAGTCAGCTCCGTTATAGTGCTATTCAAGACCTCCCTGCCTTCCACAACACCTCTGGGAGGAAGATAATTAGATAATTAGTTCTAGCTTGATGGAGACAGTTAAGACAACSAAGTTCAGTGACTTTCTCGTGGCCTGCACCAGAAGTTTGTGGCACTGCCACAGCTGAACTTAGTGGCAAATTCTTCTCTCCAGAGACCCAGTGCTGTTTATTTGCTGTATGTTAATAGAAATGTTCATTGAGCTGGTACTACTCAACTGAACCTTGGCCCAGGGAAAAATGAGCACATGTAGAATAACTAAGTTTGGCAGTACATTAAGTAATAGTACCTGTATCTTTTTCTCATGGTGGTTATTCTGTTCAGAGGTAAGTGATCCAGAGGAGCATTTCCACACCTAGAAGTAAATAGGTATTTGAAAGGGGCTCAAAAATGAATATATGCGCCTTGAATAAAAACGCATTTTAACAGCTTTATTGGTATACACAGGCACATAGCAATAGATTATTTATTTCTGACAGGAAATCCTAGACACATGTTTCCTTAGAACTTGCTGCTCCCACAGTTTGGGTATCACAAATATTTTCATGATATTTCACAAATCATGTAAGGACAATAGTTTTCGTGATAACTATATAAAGAACCCCCCCACCCCCCCAAACTTAAAGATAACTCAAAACAAGAAATTCCAAGACTAGTTTAAGAATAGGTCCATTGTAAAAAGAGCTCAAAATATTATAAAACAAGAGTGATAACTACAGAAGAATACAAATCAGGCCCCAAAATAAGGTATCCACACAAAACAATGTCAGTGTACCGATAACCTCTCTAAACACAGAAATTATGTCATACACTAATCTAGTTTTTGCAAGAATGGACTGCTTACAGAGTTAAGTAACTTTAACACTTTTTTCCTGTATATTTTGTGATATTTCTAATTGCACTTAACTGCATAATTATAACAACCTATTTGTAGTCACGTGAATAATTCAAAGTAAGAAAACAAGGGTTTATTCTCAATGGAAAAAGAACATAACAATGAAGAGTAATCGCAAGGAAAGTTTCACACTATTTGCACATTTTTTGAAGTAATTTTTCCCACAAGAATCTTTTTTTTTTTTTTTTTTTTAAACCAGTCACTGCCAAGGAGAAGGAACAACTACAATAAGATTTAGAATTAGAAAAACAATGGGGCTACTGGCATGTCTAAAATCCATCACATGCACTGGAGTTTGCAGAATCAGAGCATCAGGAAATAACTGTGATTTGATTTGTTGTTTCAAAAGCTGGAGCACCTCTGTAAACAGGACATTAAACCTGTTTTCTTTGCACAAACAAGTCCCCCTCACATGATCCCTATGTGCAGCTAGGGGGAAGCTGTGTTGCGAGTGCTCTTCTCTTGGCTGTATTTATTATTCCCTGAAATAAGAGTAGTAACCCTACAGGAGACAGGCACTTCTGTCTTTCAAAGAGAGAAACTGCAACCAGTGAGGAGCATCTTTCCTGTGCTGGCCACCCATTGGGAGCTGTTCTGCCTAAAAATGCATCAAGCTCCTGTCCCTGTATCAACCTAGGTAGGTGACAATGAAAAAAATCAAACTCCAGGCCATCCTTGACACTGGCTGGGGATTGCTGACTCCCTGTCACAGGAGGAGATGCCCACTGACAGGCAAACATCAGATCTCATCTTTCTATAGAAATCTCTGTCTGAATATCATGTTTATTGATAAGTAGCAGATAAAAACATTTTTAACATTGAGAGGAAGTATGCATGACACTGGATTTTAACAGGCAAATTTAGTTTCCCTTTTTTGCAGGTTATAATCTCAGCATCGTGGGGAATTGAGAAAAGGGGCTGATTTGAAAAGAGGTTTTCACTCCTTACAAAAAGGATGGATACAACTGGGGGGAGGAGGGGAGAAAATATCTGAACATCAGATAGCCCGAGCCCGTTGCTGCCGCTTTGGCATGTTCTCTGATGAACAACCCCACAGAGCCAGCGCAGTGCTCCTGCAGAATCCTGCACTGATAGCCTGGTTAAATTATGGCCATTCTCCTGCAGGTATCGACACAAAMGTGACTGCTGAGAACACAGGGCTCCCTTGCATGGGCCAAGGATGGACCTTTGCACGGACTAGGTGTAAAAGGATCTCTAGCTTTGAAGTCTGATCTTGTAGGCAYGACAGACTATATAAAATCCTTAACCCAGGAGTCACATACATTTGGTCTCCTCCTGTGGCCAGGAGAGCCACATAAGCAGAAGTATGGGCATCTGCTGTAAAGTATGAAATACTTTGGTTTGTGTGTTTTGCTCCATATCAAACTTTGCATCATCTGTTCTCAGCATGTGTAGTGGACACAGGATACCGATGCAATTACGTACTTTCCCCAGTAACCACATGGGGAGCAACTTATTGCAATAATAATAGACCTTTTTATCTAACAACATAAACACCCACAAGTTCTAGTCAGAAACACTAGGCAGACAATCTCTACGAAGTCCAAGCAATGCAGGAGAAGTTGGAAAACTGCAAAATAAACCCTTTAACAATTACTCATTTAGCTAGAATTGACCAGCTGACATCTGGTTAATTCATACCAGGTTAGCTTCTTACACTGCTGGCAAGTTTGCAACTAAATTCCTGTTTGTCTTTAAGATTCTTTTAATATTACTGGTTTGCTGAAAAAATACACAGAGTTGAGCTTTCATTACACTTGTGAAAGCGTTGGTCCCAAAGCACTGATTCACATAATCTGACTCAAAGAGACAACAGTTTGCATTCCAGGGGCAAAGTGGTCATGCAGTTTTCTGGGGAAAGAGCACACCATACCACACTGATAAAAATAACTGCAGCACATATAGGGGGTACTGCTTTGGTCATCAATCACAAGGAAAGACAGGTCTCAGCTATACTTGAGTTACAAAAGCAAGCATTCTGGAAATGCTTAATAGGAGTGTGTCACTATAACTTCAGTTTTTAAACAGTCAAATTAATCAGCAAAATGCCTGAACTTTATAATCTGGGAAGGAGATAGAAATGCTGCAGGAACACAAAGTAAATGCATACCTCATTCTGCAAATGAAAGAGCGCCTCGATCCCATGCACATTCTCATTGAGGACTGCTGACCCTCCTTCTTTACTGTTCCAGTCTTCAAGTCCAGTATTCGTCCTAAAAAAAAAAAAAGAGGGACTGCGTAGATATAAGATGACAATATGTTCATAAACTAAATATCATCAGTCCATCTATGAGGGAAAAAAACAGTAAAAAAGATTGATCTTGCTGTTCTCAAATAAATTATGTATTGGTTTAAATAATGATTTCAATGATTCATAAAACTGCTCTTTTCTTACTCATGTTGGCCCAAGGCCAATTTCTACAACTGAGTCAAAACACCTGAAGGCAGAGGAGTCAGCGACAGAAAAAAATAGCTTTTTAAATGTGTGTTTTGTTCTCCACTCCTTACCAAAACTGCATATAAAGCACCATTTCCTTAAGAGTTGTTTTTCTTTTCCTGTGTTCTCATGTGCACCTCACCATACGAGGTGCTAGGGGTTGAAGTCTACCTCATGTGGGTTGAGGTCCACCTCAACTTGTATGAAGATGCCCTCACAACAGCAGCACCTCAATATGCAGAGAATTCCAGCGACGGTCAGGAATACATTAGAGCAAGCTCTCTTCTTGCCAATGAGATACACAATATGTCAGAGTAGCACCTGTGCTGAGGCCCTTTCAGAGCTGATCAGACTGAGCATGACACGCTAGTGGTTTTTCAAGATTAATCTTCAGCTGGATCAGGGAGACAACCTGAGTCACTGCACAGCAACCCTGGATCTACGCAAGGTCAGATCAGTGTAAGCTGACCCTGGACCTTTGAACCTCACTCCAAAAACAGAGAGTTAGAGAGATGACAGTGACCACGACAGGGCTTCTCGAGAGAGGATGTGAGGGAGGGCACTGACATTCCTACAGTAAGCAGAGGACGATCCAACAAACAAACATAAACCACCAAAAAGGCAGCAAAACAGTAGCACAGATTGATCTCTCCACACCCCTGAGAGGAAACAGAAGGCAGTTAGTGCTACAGAAAACTTCAGAGCAGGGTAGACGTATTGCCTGGAATCCTACTGCTTAAGGGAAAAGGACAGAGAGATTTGAACTCTGCATTTACAAGTCAATTGCCAATGGATGAATACAGAACCTCGCACACTAGTAACATGGAATAAACAGAATAAATGTTATGCTTCAGGGCTGGATACAGTCACAAAAGTGATGGGGCAAGAGGAATGCAATAGAAAACCATTATACAACCAACAGAAAGGCAACAGAACTGATGGGACACAGAGGCTTCTGTCTTAGACGCCACCACCTAGCCATGCCAGTCCCATGTTTAGGATGGTAACAGTATCTTTCAGTAACTGGAGCTATGATATTAAAGCCTTCATTGTGATACAACAATAGCTATATTTGCAGCAATACAAGATATGTGGCTGTATGAAATGAAGTATCTTAGAATATACTTAAAGCCTTTTTCATTAGATTTAATCAAAAGTCTCTGACCAAAAAATTAAGTTCTTAAGTAATTCTATTGCCAAACTTTTGCATTTCAAAATTGTTTTAACTGAAAATATTTACCATCATCCACAGGAATAAAATCATTACAAAGCCCTTTAAAGATTAAAAATTTTAAATAAAGAGCTGGGCAGCAGCCTTTTATTCATAAGGTTAAAGTTTATATATTTATAGTTTATATATYTATATTATTTCCCTTCTTAAGCTACGTATTATTGTAGATGTAGGTATTAACGTACAATTCAGATGYGAGTAGGAAGTCACAATACAGTATTTCTCTGTTTAGTTACACTGGTCCTATGGATGGAGTTGAGATTCAAATTCAGTCCACTCACCTGCATGAGAGAAAACCTTGCACAAAGGTGGCATGCTATGTCCTGGACTACGGGCTATTTTCCCCATTCCTTAATTAACAGCCTTTCATTGCTCTAAATTGTGGCTATTTACAAGAGGCAGCACAAAGATAATATGTGACAGTGCAAGTAAAGACAGAGTATCTATGCAGAACCCAAAGACAATCCATAAAAGATAGCCAAATTAAACCATTAAAAACATTTTTTTTCTTTGGACATAACAACGTTGTCATATAAACAAGAGTTGTTTGCTATGAATTTTTTCCATACCAACAGAAATTCCTGGCGTGACATTACTGATCAAAAAGCAGCAACCAAAGTGTAATTCAAACAGCTAATGGAAATTTCTGAATTTTTATCGTCAAGGWCCATCTATAAATACAAGTACATTTCAAAACTTCATGGCTGCTAAGCTTAAAATTGCTGACACATGTTCCTTTGGCAGGCTTGGAATTCCACCCCCAAAGCAGCAAAATCACATTTTTTACAGTTAGCTTTTTGTTTGGCAAAGTCTTAAAACMGATGCACCAGATAACAAAATTAGTGGCCTAAATTTTGCCCTGACTTACAGAATAACTTGCAGGGGGTGGCAGGTGAGTCTGGAGGTGGCACAGGAGCATCGCAGCAGCGTCTTTCAGGAGACTCTCACGCGGGCACTGTAACCTCGCAGAGCTCTAAACCCACTGCAGCTTTTCATACAGAAAAGCAGTTTGTGAAGTTGCTTGTTTTCTACTAGAAGTTTGTGATGATGTTATAGCAAAGAGAGGAAGATTTATAGATGAATAAATTAAGGASAGAGCTTTCAATAGAGCTCAAAGCAGCCTGGAATGCCCTCCCTGGGACAGGGCATAACAGACAAGTTCACTGTGYAAACAGCAGCCAAGCAACTCGTGCCAGTCCTTGCAGCCTCTAATCTACAGTATTGCATATGAACTAACTAGTTTTCTCTGTTCCGCAGTTTAATRATGACAAATCTGATACAGTGTCATTCCTCCCCTCTAGTTTATTTTCACATGAATGTCTCAAAAACAAACAAACAAAACACCACACCACTTCTTGATCTAGACTTAAAGCACTTGGCTTTTACTAGATAGTTCTACTGAAATGCAGATCCAAAACAGGGAAGTCTCAACAAGTTGAAGTTGTATCACATTTGCCATAACTTCTTTTTGCTGTGAAAATCCACAAGTGCAGCAATAACGCAATGTCATCTGGTATTGAAAYAAAAATCACAACCTTAACTTCTCCCTGGACTACTGACCATTCCATGCCAGATGRGAGGATGGACTGGCCCATATGACCTGACCTGGAGAACTCACCTTCTCCTGGCCTGGCCTGCAATGTGTGGCACATGGCCTGCACCAACCAGGCAGCGTACTGGCCACTGCTGTGTCTAGGTTCTTGCTRGGAAGGTCCCAGCAAGTTGCACACAGGACTCCTAAGAGCCAGTTCTCACCCAGGTCTCGTGAGGGCCAAGTTAGCAGCAGAGATCATCAGCTGCTTTAAGATCATCGAGCGATGGTTCACGGCAGCTGCTCCTGCGATGCACCCAACAGCGTCCCACATCCAAGTCATGCAGATGGAAACAAATCTCAGCTCCATGTCACATGCACAGCCGAACACAGGAGATAATTATTGTGATGATAGCTCTGTAATAGAGCCCCAAAACACTCAGATCCGTGTGTTCCCGCAGCTTTTACACTAATGATGCAACTTCGCTGACAAGTGGACATTGTGGTTTCTCCCCAGGATACATGCACAGAATACCTTTGATGTTATCACTGACAATTATATTCCGATTAATATTTTAGGGTGCTATGACAAATTCTTGTAACTGACTAGTGCAATTGTGATTTTTTTTTTTTCTTTCATCTTCTAGCTTCTTTAGMAGAAAAATTGAGACCTTTAGTCTCATACATTCTGAAATATTGCTAGCAAAGCACACAGAAAATTCTCCATTTTCTTCTAACTTACCAGTAGACTGACTGGTGTCTTCACAGAATCTCAGACTTGCTGAGAAAACTGTCTGAGCTCATGAAGACTCTCACTGTGCCTTCAACACCAAAACCTCTAGCAACTCATCAAGCATCATGCTATACAGGACAGCATCTTGTCTTACAAAGAAGAAGTTAGATATTTTATAATTATTTTCAGCCACTGGATTGTATACATATTTTTTCCAGGYAAAATAATAAAAAGGATAAACTAAAATGTTGGCTTGGACAAGTTAACAAAAGATGACTTTGTGCTCATCAAAAATATTCCACGGGCTACTCGGGGAAGAGAAAGAGAACATAGGGATACTGCAACAGAAGTTCTTAAGAGAGCAAAAAACATCTTTATCTTAGTATTTAAAAAAAAAGCAACAAAGCAAGGATGCATTTAAAAAAATAGACAAGAGGAAATAATTTTAAAAAAGCAAAGTGATGGTTGCTGACCCTCAAACTGAAGAGTCAACTAACAAGAGGCTTACTCAGAGGTGATGCTCTTTATTAGTATATTAAACCTTTAGGAAGTGGCAGTAGACATCATCTGTASGATGTATGCTCCTAACCAAAATTTGCAGCTGCCAGCCCATACAGCAAAAGCATCTCCATCAGTCATGAGAGCATCTCAGTGTGTAAAACATGGGTGTGAATGCAGCATTAGTGGCTGGAGCCCTGATGCTTCCTCACAGTGCCAACTGATACCAGCTTCCAGCTGCTGCTTTGGCATRAACAATGAAGCTACAGAAAACTCAAGTGAAACACCTTTTTTTTTGCTTATTCTTATTTACCAGTTTAACTATATGCACTATCTGTTAGTGAACATTCAGCTTTACACTGACTGGGGTACTCCACTGGCAGAGTTCCTCTTGAAAGCAATGGATGCACTGTGGATACATAAATTGTCTTCAGTAAGAAGATTAAATACTTAACGTTTGATCAAATTAGATTAAGTTTTTCTTGCTAACAGATAATAAGCTCATGCAAAAGCAAAGCAGTCGTGTATTAATTAAACAATAAAAAGAAAAAAATTAAACAGATTGACTCTTAACAACTGTAAGGGGAGACTATCTCACATTTAATGCAGCTCAGCAAGTGCTTTAAGCTCTATTAAGTTTAATAAATATACACTCTCCCCATGGATCCAAAAATAAAAATTTTTCTAGATGATCTAAGAATATTAGATAAAAATCAAAACTGAGCTACAAACACATTTGAGGGTTCTCCTTCCTGGAACTCAAGTTTATAAAAACAAGCAACG